CATATGTGTTGGGTATTTCACAGTTACTTTATTGATTTTGTAGCTATAAGATAATACGTTTAGGTTTTTTATTTCCGCGTCCAGATTTTTTTCTCCTTTAATAATAGTTTTGTACTTTCCTTCACGAACTCAATTTTCAAAGGTCGACAAAATCTCACCGACTGTGGAGTCATATTCATCCAAATAACCCGATGACGCTGATCTATAAGCTTTAACGGTATAACTGATGTAACAAAAAGCGAATGATCTAACCTGACAGATTCGTTCAATTCAAATCGTTGCTTATATGTACAGCTGTGTTCACTAAAATAGCAGTGCAATAGCAACGAAGTAAAAGGACGGTAATTTTTGCATTTTCCTTTTCGTTAGTTCATCGCTTGATCATTATTTTTGTAAAATGGGATATGGAGATAGGAAAACTAAAAAAATTTCGTAAGATTTGCTTTTTATTTGCGTTTTCTGTGCATTTTTGTTCAAAATAACAAGTTTTTGGCTGTTCATTAAAATAGCAGTTTTTCATTTTGATCCCCAAAAAGCGCCGAAAACATTAAAAATTTGGTGAAAAGTAAGTTTTTTTAAGTTTATTTATTTAATTTAAATGAAAATACACAATAACCATGCAAAAATGTTGATTTTAGTGCGTAAAGGACACCTCTGTTCAAAGGAAAAGAGGAATTTGTAGTTCAGCTTAGAAAGCAGGAAAAACCCTATAAAAAATCTAAAATACGGCAAATTTTTCTGCCAAAATGGTATCCAATGCCATAAAATATGAGGGGAAATCCGAAACACGTGGGTCCAAACGAAAAACCACCGATATTGGGGGCCGAAGAAAGGTGCGCTTCAGCAAAGCGAATCCTTTTGCGTCTTCTAGGGCTGTAAAAACGGTCCTGAAGTTAAGGATCAGCGTCGTCACCATTCGCCGTCGATTAGTAAATGAAAATATAAATACGCGAAGCCCACGAAAGGTGCCATTACTTGGTACAAGGCATATCCATGCTCGATTGGAGTTTGCCAAAAGCCATTTGAAGTGGCCAGTGACGAAATGGCGCAATATTCTTGGGATAAATGAGTCCAAACTGGACTCGACATACTCAAAAAAGTAGTGCTTTCTTATGCACAGTGAGATATGTCCTTAAAATGGACGTTTCAGCAGGATAACGATCCAAAACATACCAGCAAATTGGCTAAGAGTTGGGTTAGTCAACCAAACATTGATGCAATGTCGTGGCCAGCACAGTCCCCGGATTTAAATCCGATTGAAAATTTATTGGGGGACATCAAGGGATATGTGGCAAAGAAATATCCGACTTCAAAACCGCAGCTTTGGCAATTTTTACAGGACGAGTGGGTCCAGATTCCCCTCAAGCGTTGCCAGGACTCGGTGGACTCCTTGCCACGTAGGTGTGAAGCTGTTATTGCCAATAAAGGCTTTACGACAAAATATTAGTTTATATTTATAATTTCTGTTGTTTGTATTAAGTAATTTTTAAGATTAAATGAATTTTTTAGATTTTTTTGGTAACACTGCTATTTTAATGAACAGCACATTTTGTCGATGTTATTTTGTTATTGTCTATATTTTCAAAAAAAACGCAGTAATTAGACTGAAACAAATGTTAACATAATTAAAAACAAATATATTATGTGGATGTAAACCAAATTTGTCGCATTTTGGTGTTTATGCTACGATTTTTCGATCTTAAACATTTATGTTATGAGCACTGCTATTTTCATGAACACAGCTGTACGTGCTGTGCCCAGTAGACCCATCCAGCAAGTTTTGCCATGAGACTTCCGCTTTCGTTTCACAGATTTTAATACCCGGTGGTCTGTATTTCAATTTGGATTCGGCGATTTGATGGTATGAAGGGAAAATACCACATCCTTGTTGCTTATTTAGTGCTCTTATATTAAAATATTGCTTTTTTTCAATAAAGAATTTTATTGAATTCTTTAATTTTTTCCCATTTTCAATAAAGAATGCCAGGCACTATCAGGACTTAATGGAATCGGCTCATTCATATTAGGTTTTTTTTTTTTAAGACTTGTATGTATGTCTTCACTGCTTTTGGCTTTCTTTAAGGCTACTTCTGGTTTCTTAGACTTTTTTGCTGAAACGGAGGCTGCGTGTAAAAGGAAATATGTTGAATGAGCTTCTTCTGAGGCCAGCTCAGCTCGAAATTACAAATGCGTATAACCATTTTAGAACCAAACCATTTTGAGTGAACTGATTTCAAACGCTCTAACATACGATTGCATTTCGGTAAGTTTCTTTTAATATAGTTAATGAAATATTTAACTTTGTTTAAGGGGGGACATCTGAGTAGAGTTTTGAAAAAACCAAATATTTTTTTTTTTGCTTAAAAAATTCTTTAGGGTCTTAAAAATAACATATCAATAGATAGAGTCCGGCCAAAGTGTCTAAGTGTCGAAATTTTCAATTCTGCGGCGATGCCTCACAGGTATATCCCACATTACTTAAAACTTTAAACGCGTTTTTCTCGAAACCGCTTTTTTTCAGTTGGCCGAACACATAACTCGAACAACTCTTAACCTATCGATCTAAAAGTTTTACAGTATACTCAGAAATTTTCAAATTTTCAATTGGCTTTTTCATTTGGCCAAAAAAAAATTCCAGAAAATCCGCGTTTTTTCGCCTGTTACTCAGATGTTCCCCCTTAAAAGAAAACCTTTACAGAAGACACTTTTACCTTTTAATGTTTACTTTCAATGACAAGTAAGCTGCAAGGTGTGAAAATTTTCCCGCGTTTTTAGGATAAAACAATACGACACTGAACAGCTGACTTTAAAAACGCGCCAAATATTATGGGTATTGCGAAAAATTCTTTTCAATTTTTTTTTATATCATTTTAGTATTGAAGATACCCCCAAAATAAAAAAAATAAAATTATTTCACAAAAGATAAAGTTTTTTTATCCCAAAAATTTGGGCTTTTGGACCATAGTGCACTGTATTAATGTACATATGATGTTAGGTAAGTTTAAGATAAAGAGTATCCTTTGGGTTTCATTTGATTGGAGTTCCCAAATTACAATTTTTTTATGGTGCTTCAATTTGAGTGTTTTCTTAGAGCCTACAACGAGTATCATTAAACATGATCAAAATCGGGCCACCTTGTAGGTGTCGACTGTAAACAATTTGCCGGCCCCTTAAACATAATCTAAATTAACCAAAGGCAGCTGTCAAACCGCGTATGTTCTTGATTAGCTTCGAATCGAGTGTCGGGTATTAATTTCCATTATCTCAGCATATTACTTGGCTTCCTCACACCCCACGACCCACCGAGGACTCACCCCCAGCGTGGATTTTTGCATAGGCTTCGCCCGTTCTTGCTACATTGTAGCTCTAAAAATGTTATTGTTATTGATTAAAATTAATTGTGTATTTCCCTATCGCCCCTTGTAATGCCACAGATACAAACAAAATAACACATCCACAGCGGATCGCCTAGGAATTGGTGAGCCCAGCTGATAATTATTAATTTAAAGCACAAATAGGCTGATAAACTGGATTGACACAGTGACTCCGGCAAAGGGGGTAGCGTATACAAACATAAATCTTTGCCGGATCGCAACTGATTGTGTTATCAGCGTCTCCAAGCGGAGAGCTCTATTTCCTCGCAATTTTCTTATATTTCGGATTGGGATTGTTTCCAGGGATGTCGCGCAATGGCCAGATGTTCCAGTCGCTCCGATTAAGAACATAGTATATAAATATTTAAGCAACGATGTGTCAAGAAGTGATAGTTGTATGACCCAAGACAAATACGAGGGTAGGCTGATAAAAATTCGGCCTTACAAAAAAAAAAGTTTTTTTTTAAATTTAGCTTTCTTATTTCTCAACCAATCTTCTTTTAGACATAAGCACAAGGACCTCCGATCCTCCAGTTTCCCAATACCTTCCATAAAATAGGGTTTGTCCAGGTCCTCAAAATAGGCGTTTGTATCACAGATTACCCGTTCATTTGACTGAAATTACTTACCCCCATTTTTTTAAGTTTGGAAATAAATAATAGTCACAGGGGGCTAAATCTGAAGAATTTCGTAGTGCAATTCACACAATTTCGACATGGCGGCAACGCTCTTGTGAGCGGGAGCATTGTCCTGGTGAAACAAAACTTTCTTCTTCGCCATTTCTTTTTTTTCAGGTCGGAATCAAATTGTCCCAAGAGATTGGAATAGTATTCTCCCGTAATTGTTCTGCCTTTTCACCAGATAATCCACATGAATTACACCTCGGGCATCCCAGAAAACCGTTGCCCTCACCTTGTTGGATTTTTGCCTTTTTCGGTGCCGTTTCTCCAGTTGAAATCCATTGCTTTGACTGTTCCTTACTCTCTGGTGTATGGTGGTGAATCCAGGTTTCGTCAACAGTCACAACACGACGAAAAAATTCGTTTTTGTTTGCGTTAAGCAATGCCAAACTCTCATTCGCAATGTGGAAGCGGTTGCGTTTATTTTCCATTGTGGACAATCGCGACACCTATCTTGACGAAAGTTTACTCATGTGTAAAAATTTGTATAAAATGTTTCCAACGCGTTCCCGAGAAATGTTTAGAGCGTTTGCAATCTCTTGCAGCTTGATTCGGCGATCATTCAATATCATTCCATGGACTTTATACACAATTTCTAGTGTTGTCGCCTCTCTGGGACGACCCGGGCGATCATCGTCAAAAATGCTTGTCCGCCCGCGTTTAAATTCAGAAGTCGAATAATTTATTGTTGAAAACGATGGAGCTTAATCCTTATAAACTTTGTCTACCTCCTTTTTAATATCGTCGTTGGATTTCTATTTTTAAAAACAGAAACCTTATGACGATATTCGATTTTATTCATGTTGACGACAATGCAAAAGTGAATGCGCTACAAGTCCCGCCAATATTACCAGTGTTGATAAAACCGCATGAAACTTTCACAGTAATCATCTGATAGAAAACACTAATCGAAAAAAATTTTTAATATATATTTATTTAAAAACAAATTTTGTTCTTTGTAAAGCCGACTTTTTATCAGCCTACCCTCGTAAAACAGAGATTATGATTTGTATTCAAAGCTTGCTTCAAACTGGATGAGGTCTATTGCTTGTACCCAAAGGAAAATTCCGGATTTTCCGGACGTTTGAGGAACATATGACAGCCGACGTCGAAGTAAACGCAACAGCGTCATAGTTATGTCACCGATAACCGATGATAAGATCGTACGCGAGGCCCATTGAACGCGACTTGCGAAAGCCCCTTCTTCGAAAGCGCCCTCGTGTTCCTTCGGCGCCGACGAGTATCCGGGAGACGATTATCAGCCCCGGAGGCCAGAGCAAACAAGCCGAGCGTACCGATTCGACTCAACTGCAGCGCACGCGGAGGCGTCTTCCCGCGTCTATATCTGTGAGAGCTCTGGCCCTTGGCTTATTCGTTGGTCAGTCGTGGAGGCGGAACGACGTGTTGCTCATTAAATAAACCCGTCCGTGTCAGAAGCGTTTTGTCGTTGGAGAGCCGTGTGTAATGAAATTACCAATGGACCAGAAGCGTCGCGTTTGCGTAATTGGAGGTAATCGACAATCGCAATCTTTCGAGGAGAGGAGTTTCACATATCGTAACACTGATTTCCAGCTGGTACCGCCGGCCTGTGCGCCCTGAAGAACTCCCTGGAGGAGGGCCTGGATGCGGTGGCCTACGAACGTGGAAGCCAGATTGGGGGAACCTGGATCTTTTCGGAGGAAATGCCCAAGGACGACTATGACGAAGTGCACAGCAGCATGTACGAGGGGTTGCGGTAGGTGGAGATGCACTGCAGGTGGATGATTTGAAAATCACAAGGAAATGCTTCCATTTCAGCACCAACCTCCCGAAGGAGGTCATGGGCTATCCGGACTACTCGTACCCGGAAGACATAGCGGATTCCTTCATCACCTCCCAACAGGTTCTGGACTTCCTCCGCTCGTACGCGGACCACTTCAAGTTGCGTCCCCACATCAAGCTGCAGCACGAGGTGATAAGAGTGCGTCCTCGGTTGGAAGACTGGGAGGTTGGTAGCGACGTCACTAAATTCCGAACCTGTTGTTTCTGCTTTCGCCGATTTCACGGCTTGCATTGTGCAACAGAGCGACTCATAAGACCACTAAGACATCGTTACCTTCCAGGTCTACGTTTGGGATCACAGTACCAACACCTGCGATCCGGTCTACTTTGACTTTGTATATGTCTGCAACGGTCACTACACAGAGCCGGATGTGCCGGACATCCCCGGAATGGAGCTCTTCGCCGGCAAAACCATGCACAGCCACTTGTACCGAAAAGCGGAAAAATTCACAGGTAAGTTCGCACTTTCCGGTTCGCAAGTTGCCAGCCAAAGCAAAAAATTAAAATTAGACAACAGTCTGGTCGTCTGGCCAGAGTCCCCACTGGCTTTACCTCATAAACAATCAGCACTCAAGACCTCTGATAATACTGTTTACGCGCAAGTGACATAATAATAACAAGTGCTCTTGGTCAGTGCAAATTTTAAACACTAGATACACGTGCTTCTTTAGTGACTAGTGATAGTGGGATAAGCACTTTGTTGGTATGATAATTAAAATAAATAAGGAAGGAAGGCTATTGTCAAGTTTCGCGACTATGTTATACCCGGTACTCATATCTCTTCCACACTAACGCTTTCGTTCTTTAAAAGTTAAAAGACTCTCCAAAAAGAAACTTTGGATACTTTGTTTGTTTTGGAAATGAAAAAACCCATTAGAAAATCCGATCTCATCTAAAAATGGTCCGATTTGGAAGAAATTTGTTTAAATTATGTATATAAATTAGCTGTTATAATAGTTTGGCAATAAAACAAGTTCGAAATCTTCAAAAATATATTAAATTTGGAGCGGTAGTGTGTGAAAAAATGTAAAAAAAGCTTAAGCCGCTTGGGTATCATAGGAGCCCCATGCTCCTATCAAGAAATCAAGATTATATTTATTTACTTTATGGAGTCGGAGAGGATTTCTTTTCTACGTTACATATGTACATTTAGACAAATACAATATACGGTATACCCGTATATCTACCTAATGATATACATACATAATTATACCCGCTACCCGGTGTCGGCAACCTGGCAATCAAAGGTTTGTTCTTGGGATTTTGGAAAAAAAATAATATTTTAAAAATAAAAAATTGTAAATGGAGAATCAGACAATTAGCCGAACGATCGGAAGGTAGAGCCGTAGAACCAGGGCCGTAGCTAGAGCCTCGGGGGCCCTGGGGCAACAAGTAAATTTGGGGCCTCCTATACGGAAGTCTTTTGCCCCGGTGGGGCCCCTTCCCTTCGGGGGCCCTGGGGCACCGCCCCACCTGCCCCATGCTAGCTACGGCCCTGCGTAGAACCTACTTTTGTTGTTTATTAAATAAACAATATAACAAATTCTCTAATTTTTTATTTGTGTATGGGATCGGTTAAATTAAATTGATATAGATGTTCGTCACTGAAATATTACCTTGTCAAGAGGCTTTTTTTTTTTTAAGAATGTTTATGACCCAAGAGGGTCAATTGATAAGAGTTACAGATTTTTTCCTGCCCCATGCGTACATATACAATGCGTATACATACATACATATGTATGTATGCCTAAAGCTTTCATATAAAATCACAATCTTTCCAAAAACTAATTCTTCTTTATTCATTGAGTATACATTTAAATGTGAACCCAAAAATGAAAAACTATAATTTTTCCCGTCTTAATGTCTGGGGTCCACTTACCTTCTTAAAATAGAACTCATAAAAATGTTCATCTAATAAGAATGTACATATACTCTTGCCAAAGTCGTGATCATCTTCACTTATATCCCACAGCTGCAATATAAATAATTGATCGAACATAAATTTATAAAATAAACTTCCTAAAATTCCATTATTGATCGGAACTATATGCAATATTTTCGATATATTCGGTCCGATAATGTTGGAGATCACGATCTCTTTCGCAGATGAAAAGGTGTTGATCGTCGGGGCAGGACCCAGTGGCATGGACATTACGAATCACGTCCGTGTCGCGGCAAAGCACGTCTACTTGAGCCACCACTTGCAAACCACCCCGAACACAGCCTTCATGGGCAATGTCACTCAGAAACCGGACGTGCAGCGCTTCACAAAGGAAGGTGCCGTCTTCACAGACGGGAGCAGTGAGAGCTTCGACCACGTCATGTTCTGCACTGGGTACAAGTACACATTCCCTTGCCTCAGCACCGACGTGGGCATCCAGGTGATCGATAACTTCGTGCAGCCACTATGGAAGCACTGCATCAACATCAACCATCCCACGATGGCCTTCGTGGGACTGCCCTTCAACGTGATCCCTACCCACATCTTCGACATGCAGGTCCGCTTCACACTCAAGTTCTTCACTGGACAACGGGAGTTTCCGTCGCGAGAGGAGATGCTGGCCGAGCTTGAGAAGGAAATAGGGGAGCGGTGGGGCTGCGGAGTGCATAACCGGAAGAAGGCCCATCAGATGGGGGAGCGACAGGTAAGTGTCAAGCTGTCCAAACAAAACATTCGCACATTCATCATTTATTTTAGTTTGTCTATTACAACGAGCTGGCTCGGATCGCTGGCATCGAAAACATCAAGCCGGTGATTCACAAGCTGATGAAGGACTGCGGCAAGAAGTACATATTCGAACTGGACACCTACAGAAGCAACCGCTACACAATCGTCGACGATGAGAATTTTTTGAAGAACGGAAAAGCTAGTGCTTGATTTTAATGTCTGGACTATTTGTACTCTAAAACTAACTCAATAAATTATAAAAAAAAGTGCTAAATATATGTGTATGTACTTGCTTCCTGAAGTTTACTCAAGAAATCTAGAAATATGTGAAAATAATAGTGATATTTTTTCATCTCATAGGGAAAAGTACCATACTATCCACCACCACGTTTTAGTACCTTACATATGGATACTTATTAGACTTATTAGTCTTCTCAAACTTGGTCCAGCTACTAGGCTTTTCAGATGTTCTTCGTACATTCTTTTGTTACAGTGTAAAAGTCAATTTATTAAACAATTTGTTAGGATTTTAAAATTACTATGAAGCTACTGGCTTAGCTCGTACATGATGTGAGAGAGTACTCCGCTGGCTTCCACATTACTCAGGGCCACGTTGGCCAAGTGGGGCTCGTACCGCTTTAAGCAGCGCTTGGCCGTCGAGGAGTACGTGACCAGGTTCCGAAGGATGAGCGCCGCTGTGAGGCGAATACTCTTAGTGACAGGGCCCTCGTTCTCGTCCATCAGCTCCTTGGAGTTTGTGTAGTCCGTGGTGTGTCTATTCATGGCCTGCATCGCGGCACTGCCAACAATTGCCGCTGTCGGAGCTGGGGAGGACACCGAAGACGGACCGGTCCCGGTTCCCGCCAGTCGTTGACCATGACTCTCATTGCGAACTATGGTCACAGAGGGCTGGGTGGGTGCTACGTTATGGATGCCAGTGGCCAGGCGACGCTGCATGGCAGCTCGGAGATTCTCCGTTGTCAAATGGCGATCTATTAGGTGAGTCATCAGAGAGTATCGTTTGCGGGCCCTGTTGTCACAAAAGGTTGGTCCACTACCCCATTGACAGTAGATGTCCGCGTCCGAATCCAAGTGATCGGGACAGTGGACGTTGCACACGTGATACTTGAGGTCGTTCAGCGACTTGAACTTTCGGCGAGGGCAGTTGCGCCAGTCACAAATATACAACCAGTTGGCATCCACTGGCACAGCGGAGGGAGTCGGCGTGGGACTGTTACTGGTGGGGGGTGCGGCATACACGCTTTGACTGACCACCACCGCACTGCTACTACTGCTGGTGACGACTGTAGCTGTTACATTGGCAGGCTGGTCGGCTGGTTTGGTTTCGCTGGTGCCCGCCACAACCGCCTTAGCCCCGACACCCGCCGCGGGCTCGCTTATAGTCGCTTGAGATACAACAACTGCCTGGGTGGTTGCAACCTTTTGGGAAGTAGGATGGGGCTGTAAGGCCTTCTTTGCTACAATAGAGGTTCCTGGCGGAGTTGCTGGAACTGATACGGCCGCCATCTTCGGTTTGGCTGGTTCTGAAATCTGCAAGAAAATTATGTGTTGACATTAATTGAAGATGACTCTGTTTATAAGTTCTTACAGCTGGCATTGAAATCTTCTGCTGAATAATAGAAGGATGATGGGTCTGTTGCTCCAAAACGGTGCGGATATGCTGCTGCTGCTGTTGCTGCAGGGTTACGGTGCCGGAAGCTGTGGGCGCCGGCTGGGAAGTTATAATCGTCTGCGAATTCAACTGACTTTGCTGCACCGGTGTGGCGGTGGCCGGGGTCTGAGTGATAAGAGTCGTCTCCTTGATGCCCCCAAGGAGAATCTGCCTTTTCTCGGGCACAACCGCCACGCTTCCAGCAGCGGTGGTAGATGCCGTCGCAGGGCCTGAGATGATGTGTTGCTGGATGATGGACTGATGCTGCTGCAACTGCGGAATGGGCAGGGATGCGCCCGTTTTTGTGGCCATAAGGCGTTGTTGCGGCAACACCTGCGGCGAAACTAGTTGCGGCTGTGGTTGCGGCTGGTGGAGCTTAATGGTAGCCGGTATCTGGTTAAGTTGTGAAAGCAGGGAGGGCGACATTTGGCCAGCTCCCAGTGCTGGCACAGGACGCTGGGGAGCAAGGAATATTTGCTGCGGGGGCGCTCCCGTGCGAGTCTGTGCTGTCTGCGGGCCTGTAGTGGTGGTGACCAGAACCTGCTGGCCCTGCGGCGTGGTCATAAACACTTTTTGCGTTCCCGGCACGTTAGCTGCCGTCGCTCCTCCTGGCTGCTGGAGAATAATGATGGTCTTCGTTTGTTGCTGCGGGGCCTGGGTTACCAGCAGCGTCGGCGGAGCTGACTGAGTTGGTGCTTGAACAGCCGGTTGAGTTTGTTGGGCAACCAAGTACGTCTGTCCCTGCTGGTTGGTGGCCAGGACATACTGAGTCTGCGGCGCAGGTGCAGCGTCCATGGATGTCTTCGACTGTATGATAACCGGCACAGTCTGCAGTCCTTGGTCTGTTTTGATTGTAGCTGTAGTGGCCAGCTTGAGTTGCGGGGGCGGCGCTGGGGAGGACACGCTGCTAGCGGGAAACAGCAACTGGCGCTGGGTCGGCTGCACTTTGGCTGGAATGAGCTGGAGCTGCTGTTGCTGCGACTGCTGCTGGGGTTGCTCCTGGCTGGTCTTTGCTAGCGGTGGAACGTCATCCAGGTCCTCGTCCTCCAAGATCGAAGCCGCCAAGTCTGCGTAGAGGTTGGCCGCGTTCTTTGAGGGCGTTACGTGTGGCTCATCCTTAGAGCCTGCGGCAGAGGCTAAAGAGCCCACTGCATCCAGAGCAATTCTCTTATTTTGCTCATCGTCTATCGTAAGTTTCCGTTTGGCAGCGGCTGCTGCAATTATTAGATTGCGCCCGGTGGTGTCCTTGGTCACAACATTTGCACCACTGAGCGGTGCGAGGGGCGGGGGCGCAGAATCCGTGATCGGCTTCTTCTCGATTGTCAACTGTGGATGCAGTGGCTTAATTGTGGTTTGCCCCACCTTCACCGGCGTGTGCTGCATCAGCGGGTTGTTCACAAAGGCGCTAATGGCTGTGGAGGTGACCTTAATAGGCTGTGTTCCGGCAGTAACCGAAGCGGTGGTCGCCACCAAAGCAGGCGGCTGCGTCGTCTGGACCTGCGACTGCCCCTGTGCCTTTTGCTTCTGCTGCCGCTCAGTAACCTTGTTGGCCAGCAGGCTTTTGATCAGAGAGGAGCTCGGTGGCGGCGTGGAGGCGGTGGGATTAGCCGTCGTTTCTTCAGTAGCACCTTCTGCAGGTTCGCCTTGCGAAGGTTTTGGCAGAATCAGAGCCTCCTTCTTGACGGGCACCATGCTGGGGACAGGTTTCTGTTGCACAGTCAGCGGTTGGGCGCGCATCCGAATTCCGACATAGTACGTTCCTGGCAGCTCCGTGCCATCCAACTGCCGCACAATAACCGGGCCTACTGATTGGTTAAATATCAACCGCACCAGGCGCGGAAACTGCTTGTGGTTAACCACCGACAGCTTTCCAGACTTCTGGCAGTGGGATAGATATATCCGGTACATCTCCGCTTGCTCTACGCGCAGCTCGTGCCCAGCACCTGCCCTCTCGTATGTAGCTCCCAGCCAGGACAGGGCGTACTGCTCGTCCTCGTGCGTGAAGCTCTGAGGGGCGGAAGGCGGAGTCGGCAGCGCAACCGTCGTGGTGATTGGAGGCAACTGAACTTGTGGCAGGCTGGGCACTGGTAGATGCACTTGCGGCAAACTAGGCACCGGTAGGCTGGGCACAGTCGGAAGAGTTGGAACTACAGTCACTGTCTGAGCCGGCACAGAACTGGATATGGCCGGCTGTTCCGCGAAAGGCAATAGTACCTGGGTCTGGGCAGGCGAGGGAGTAGGAAGCGCCACGGGTGGCTTAACAGCAACCTGAAGAGAAGGGGGCAGCGATGTGAGAACAGCAGCCGCTGCCCCCGTAGCTGGCGTCTGCAGGGCGGGCACGTTTTGGGACATGGAAGCGATCATATTGCCCGGCACCACCTCTACTACGCGCATGAGGATGCATCCATCGGCGCCGTATGTCTGAGCTTCCACCGTTATAAGAGCAACCAATTGGTCCACTAGTCCGCGCACCTGCATAAGCATCGAACAGGGACGAGCTCCAAGGGAGCTAAGAGCATAGACCGCCTCGAGGGTAAATATCAACAGCATCACATCCGTCAACGAAAGCAAGAGCATAGCGCGCTGGTAGAAGTCCAGGCCCAGGCATCGGTTGATATGCTGAGAATTTCCCTCCCGACCACAAAGCTTGTAAAGGATCTCGAGGCAACAGATGACCACAGCCCGGTCATTCGAGTCAACGCCCTCGCAGAGTGTGGCCAATAGATTTCGCGAAAGCTCATCCGTCGTTGGGTCCTGCAGCTCGAACTGATGGGCCAGGTTACCAGCCGTTTCCAATGCCTGAATGTGAACATTACCTGAAGAACAAGGTGTTTGTTAAATAAATTCATTGGAATGATCACATTCTTCCTTCGAATCAAAAGGAATCCTAAGGAATTAAATTCCTAATATTATTGTTCATACTTACTCCATCGTACATTGGCACCCATGACCAGATATCGCCAAAGAGTGCGGTTAGACGACAGGATTGCGTGATTTTCTTGATGGAAACTAAGGGTTCGAATGAGCTGAACAATCTGAAGCACGCGCTGGCCCATTCGTTCGTCTGTGCCATTGCTGCGTCGCAGGTTGAGGAAGTCCAGCTCATCACAGGCCGCCAGCAGATCACTGCGACCGGCGGAGTCCTCGCTGTCCTCCTTGGTGATGAGACCGTTGTCTAGCCAAGCCTGCTCATCTGTGTAGAGCTCAAGGATCTGCGGCCTGTCGTACAATAGATCTCTCCAAAAACTGAGCTGCGAATGCTGCCGTACCTCAGCATAGCTGTGCTGAAAAAGCTGACGTATGGTAAAATCTGCATACACACCCAAGTGGGCCAGAAGCACGTCCAGCAGCTTGGGGCACTCTGAGAGCTGCAGAGTGTGTCGCACCTCGTTGGCCATTAGCGTGCACACGTTGATGGCAAAGTCCTGCTCGTTGGGCAAAGGCGAAAGCAAGGATAGCAACAGCTTTTCGTAGCTGCTGTGCCGGTGGAGCTGGGTAGATAGCTTGTATTGTCTCCGTCGCTCTGTATTTACCGAGTGTTGCCGCTGGTTGTATGACATTGGTACTGCCGGAAGCGTTGAGTGTGCTAGGCCAAAGATGCTACTTAAGCCACCGCCTCCACCTCCTCCGGCCAGAGCCCTTGAACGAGCGCGACTTCCGCCCAGCTCAGCATTCTCAATGGCCGCCTCCAGGGCCTCCATCTTGTCCGGATCCTCACCAAAGAAATTGAGGCGCTCGTACTTGTCCAGATAACGCCGGTAGATATGCTTGATACCAGCGGTACCATTGACACATCGCTCCCGAAGGGTCTCTAACGCACTGTACACCTCATCCCACTCGTCCCGCAGGTTTACTTTGTTGAAACCACCACGATCGGTCACCTCTTGGTATAGCTTGTACAAGTCCACCTGTTTTCCATTAATCTTGGCCGTTTGGGTCATGGGTGTGCTGATGGGCAAAAAAATTATAAGTGAAGTTCCACAAAGGCAGTGTTTTCCTATTACCCCCGTCGCTCATGAAACTGCTGCAAGTCACGCCAGAACTCCTCAGGGGCCGAGACAGGCTTTTCCTCGATCTTCTCTGGCACCGGCGGTATTTGATTTCTGGCGCGCAGTGGAGTGCCGACCGGTGCCATCATCGCCATGCCCTTTCCCGGCGTCTGCATTTCTCCCGGCAGGGCGCCAACGTTGTTGTTGGCAGCTGCGGGTAGCGACTGAAGCAGCACCCGCACACTGTCTATTGTGGAGGTGCTCATTTCCACTAAAATTCGCGTTTTTTGTCAGCAGTAACTTCTTAACACATTATTTTGAATAGGTAAGACACGCAATATTAAAATTAACTAATTAAAAACTCCACAAAAATTACGACGCGGACGCGTTTTATGGCATGGTGTTGGAAAACGCTCTTTGGAGTTGCATTTTGGCCTCCTCAGAGGCAGTGCTGAAAACGAACCCAAGGAACCAGTGCTGTAAAATTCAAAAGTGTCTTATCGAAATTTAAAATACCTAGATACAAAAAACCCGTTATTTTGAATTTGATGAGAAACAATTACATTGTAATTTTGAATACGCGTCGATTCAACCATCCCAATCCTTTTTGTTTAAAAGTTATTCAAGAAGAGTCGATTCTTCTTCTTCTTCCAAAATATAACCTAGTGTGTCCCTATTTTTGTCTGCTTGCACTAGTTTGTTTCTCCCAATCCTTAAAAAATTCGAGATATTAGTTACTAAAATATTACCAACATTTGTTCTACAATTTTTTAAAATACTTCAAGCTTACGTTTAAAAATGTAAATGTACGTTAAAAAAAACTGTTTAAATTATTGGGTGCTTAACTTGATTAACAACAAGATAGGGCGGCTATAGTCAACCTTCCGACTATATTATACCCGGTACTTATATCTTCCACCCACATTTTAACTAACCTTCAAAGTCTAAACTTTAACGGTTTGTATCACAGCAAAAATTTTTGTTGCATACTTTGGCTTTTAAAGCCTAGTTCTCTGACGACGAAAATCCGCTGTCACTCCTTTAAAAATTATCCGATTTGGCTGGTTTTTTATTTGTGGGTGTGGGTAGATTGTGGGTAGATGAACCATGAACAATTTTGCATCAAAAATTTTCCAAAAACATAAAAGAGTTTAAGTTCCCTATCGGATAGTTCTAGTATATCTTATAAAATTCAAGATGCGTAAAAAATTTTTAAACTTTTTTATGAAATATTGCTTATACATACATTTATGTATGGCTATATCTCCTATATATAACTATATACAGCTGTGTTCATAATAATAGCAGTGCAGTAGCAACAAAGTAAAAGAACGGTAATTTTTGCATTTTCCTATTTCCTATTTTTATGAACTATAACTATACTATAATGAACTATAATCTATAAAAATAGTTCATTATTCGAGTACTGGCGATACAGAAATTCGTGTTTTGAGGGGGTTAAATTTCGCGGCATTTTAAAAAAAACTTGCACTGCGTTGGCATTGTAGGAAACATCCTACAATGAGACATCCTATCATACTTTTTCAAAAAAAACTCGTAAAGCTCCAATCAAAACGCAATTCAGTGACGAATCATAAGTTAAAAATATTAAAAAATTAAAAATATTGTTGCTATATAGACTCGGCTGTTGATGCTGATCAAGAATATATATACTCTATGGGGTCGAAGATGATTCCATTTTCATGTTCTACCCTAGTACAAGTTTGTACTTTACTAGTACTGGGTATACAAAAATTATTTATTAAAAAATTTATTCATAAACTAGAATCAAAGAACAATAACCGACAGATCGGAAGGTACAACCGTAAAACCATTTGTAAAGAAAAAATAAAATAATAATTAAAAGGTTTGTCCTTTAAATTATGACGAGCTCAAGAAAACATAAAAAGAGGAGAAATTATGGGAATTCACTAGTACACCTACACTATTCCTACACTCTAGTGTACGCTAGTGAACTCTTACTTTCACTGGTCACATTAACAATTCCATATCGATACATCGAATAGTGATGTGCACTCTGTTACAGATAGATATACTCTTGCTAGGCGTGAGCAATAATGAGTGATAATAATAATTGTTGTTTTGTGAAGTGAGGAGTTGCCTTAAACGGCTCCCCCACGCGTAGGTCCAAAGAAAGGTGAACTTCAAAGGCCTGTTGCTATGGCGTATGGAACGTTTTATTCTGTAAATTCATTAATTTAGTTAACAATTCAAATATATCTCTCCTTCTTACCGCAGTGTGCCCTCCTACGATCAACAAAACAATGAATGGCACTTTTTGGCGGCATTCACACTACCGCTATTAGTAGGCCCGTAGTTCCGATAACTTAAAATACTACATTTCCTAATAATACTGACTTAACTATCGATAACAATGTTTTGACCGTCGACATCCCCGACCCCGTGAAGACCAGCTTCACTCAAATCCAAAACTGCAAGTTTAGAGACGGGCCGCAACATTGTCCAAGATAATCCATTATCATTTACGCGCACAGTGGCGCGTCTGACGACTCCATCAGCTCCGCTGAAGACCTCCTCCACGATTCCCTTGCGCCACTCTCGTCTGGGCAAGGCAGGATCGCAGACGAAGACCATATCGCCCTGGCGGATGGGCTCCGTTCTCCGGCACCACTTCTCGCGGCGCACAAGCGTAGGCAGGTACTCCCTGACCCACCTCCTCCAGAAACGGTCTCGCAGCATGCGGGCAATCCTCCACTGCTTTCGCGTAGAACCCTCCTTGGGCAGCTCGGCATCCAATCCAGGCGTATCTGGCAGGTTAGCTACTCCCTTGAGCAGGTCATTTGGCGTCAACGGCGCCTCTTGGTCCGCATCTACTGGCAAGTGGGTGAGCGGACGCGAGTTGACTACGTTCTCCGCCTCTATGAGTAGACTCTCCAACACATGGTCCCTCGGCGCGACTTCCTTCAGGGTATGGCGCAGCACTCGCTTGACGCACTGCACCATCCGCTCCCATACTCCGCCCTCAGACGGGTTGGATGGGCAATTAAAAACCCACTCAATGCTCCTGCTGGATAACTCACTCTGTATCCTTTCCGTCTCGAACACGTCCCCAAATCGTCTGGCCTCTCTGTCAGCTCCCACGAAGTTTTTTCCGTTGTCACTCCGCAGTTTACATACTGGTCCTCTACGGCAGACGAAGTTCCTGATCGCTATAATACAGGAATCCGTTGACAGATCATGCGCCAGCTCCAGATGAATCGCCCTTGTCGTCAAGCATGTGAACAAGGCGACCCAACGCTTCTCTCTGTGACGGGCAACAGTCACCAACAGTGGCCCAAAGTAGTCTAGTCCTGTGTACTTGAATGGCCATCCTCCAGCTTCCAAGCGATCCTCTGGAAGGGGTCCCATTATCGGCGGCATCGGCCGCGTCCGTTGTAGCTTGCATTCGTTGCACGACGAGATTACCTCCTTCAGCACTCGTCTTATCTTCGTGACCCAGAATCTCGTCCGGATCTGGGCAATCGTCGCATCCACGTTTTGATGCTTCATCTGGGCGTGGTAGTGTCTTACTACCATCTCCGTGAGACTGTGCCTGTGTGACAGTATCACGGGCCTCCTCGCACTGTACGGCATGGACAGCGCGGCATCGACTCTGCCATAAACTCGCAGAACTCCATATTTATCCATGTACGGCGCCAGACTACGAATCTCGCTCGAGTTGGCGACTTCCTTTCCGCGTTCCGCCGACCCCATCTCGTCGGGAAACGACTCCAATTGGGCCTGCCTGATTAACAGGTTCTCCGCGGCCTCACACTCCGTCGCAGTGAGTCCATATTCCTCGAGTTCGCTTCTCTGTTTGCGGCACCGTCGCGCAAACCTCAGGACCCAGGCGGTGGTCCTCACCAGGCGACTGAAGCTCGAGAATCTCTGGAACAGGATGACAAATTCATTCGATGCTACCAAAGCGAACTCACCGGGCATCTCCTCCTCGTCAGGTGCATCTGGAACATGCTCGGTTCCCTTCTCAGGCGTTGGCCAGCCGCTTTCTGGCTGCCTTAAAAATGCGGGACCGCTTAGCCACCGGGATTCCGGGCTAAGGTCCGCCTTGCTCTGCGACCGCGTCGCATCATCCGCTGCGTTGTCAGCTGTAGGTACCCATCTCCACTGGGAAACCTTTGACGACTCCAAAATCTCCGCCACTCGGTTGCCAACAAACTGCTTATACCGGCGGTGGGTGCTGCCGATCCATTTCAGCACCGTTTTTGAGTCCGTCCATAAAACCGTCTCGCTGATGTCCACACCGTGTTCTTCCTTGACAGTATTCATCACTCTGGTTCCAAGGACCGCTGCCTGCAGCTCCAGCCGTGGGATGGACATCGTCCTCATCGGCGCACACTTCGTCTTTGCGCACACGAAGCTAACCAGCACGTTTCCGTCGTTGTACGTGACCCTCCAATAGGCCACCGCCGCGAATGCAGATTGACTTGCATCCACGAAAACGTGCAACTCGATGGTCCGAACTGCTCCACGCCCAAAATAGTGGCGAGGACATCGGAACTGTCCCACGGCGTCCAACTCTCTTCGCCAGGCAGCAAAGGCTCTGCCTATCTCCTCCGGCAGCGGTTCGTCCCACTGGATCTTCTGCCTCCAGATCTCCCGCAGCAACAGCTTCGCTGTAATCATCAGGCAGCACAGGAACCCCAATGGGTCGAACGTTGACATCAGCAGGCTCAAAAACTCTCTCTTTGTTGGGACTCGCTCTCCACTTAGGACGCTTTTTGGCACTCGATGATATTCCACGTTGAATCTGAAGTCATCCGTTGCTACTTGCCAACGCATTCCAAGGATTTTCTGCTCAGACTCACCCCATCCGACGCTCTTGACTTGTCCAGGTGGTCCCAACGCCGCTTCCACGATGGGTGAGCAGGATGAGAACTGGCATAGTTCGAATCCAGCCTCCGCGTGTATCTCCTTCACTCGGGTAGATACCTCGATTGCTTCGCTCTCCGTATCGAAACTATCCACGTAGTCATCGACGTAATGGTGGTCGATGATGGCCTTGACTGCCCTCGGATCTGAGTCCCGAAACTTCAGGGCATTCACCGTCTTGACGTAGTGCGCAGTGCTCGGCGAGCAGGCTGCTCCAAAAGTCATCACGTTCATCTCGTATGTATCCGGCTCTCGATCGTCGTTGCCATCTCTCCAGAGGAACCTTTGGGAACATCGATCCTCGGGTCGGATCAGCACTTGGTGGAACATCTCCTTGATGTCCCCGCAGACTCCGACTGCTCCTTCTCTGAAGTGGAAAAGCACAGCTGGCAAGGGCTTGTAGTGCTGTGGCCCTTTGTCCAGCGCCGAATTGAGGGAGGTTCCTCCAACCTTGGCTGCAGCATCGAACACAAGCCGGACCTTTCCGGGCTTGTTTGGGTTTTCCACACCAAAATGTGGCAAATACCAGAGCTTGTCGCTCTTCACTGCGACCTCATCCGGCTGCAGCTTCCTTGCATATCCTTTGGAAACGTAGTCTTTGATGATACGGTCGTATTCCAGAGCCAACTGCCCGTTGCGCTTCAACTTCTTCTCGACGTTGATCAGCCGTCTGTGCGCCATCTCATAGCTCCGTGGCAGCACAGCGTGGTCGTCCTTCCAGAGCAATCCCGTCTGGTAGCGACGCCCCACTTTCACCGTGGTGTCCTCGAGGATCCTTTGGGCCCGCGCGTCGTCGCTGGCTGCGACCGGTGGCGCGAGCTTCACACCAAAGCTTTCCATCTCGAAGTAGTCCTCCACCATCTTTTCCATCGCATCGTCCATTGACACGGCTAGAAGGCAGGACCTCGGTGACGGCGTAGTCGACTGTCCACTTACTGGCCCGAATACAACCCATCCAAGCTCGGTTGCGGCCGCATACGGTCCCTCTCTGGCAAACCGTCTCGTCCTAAGTGGCAATCCCAAATGTCCATGGTCCAGTCCGATGAGCAACTTCGGCACCACGTTGCTGTAGGGCTTCATCGGCAGTCGCGAATCCTTATGAACGCCCTGGACATCTCGTCGACATAACGTCTGCATCGGCAGACTCAGGCTCGAAACGGCGTACACGTTCCTCAACGGGTGACGAGTGGGCTTCCCAGCTCCACTGATCTCCAGACTCACCACGTTGGTAGGCTCCCTGCTGGCTCTTCCTCCAAACCATTGGATGTTCAGTTGTCGACGTTCGCCTTGCACTCCCAGATCCCTCCGTAGCTCGTCGTCGATCATCGTGACGGAGGATCCTTCATCTAATAGCGCGTATGTGTCCACCTGGCGACCAGCTCCGTACAGCGTTACTGGCAGTATACGGAACAAAAGTCTGCCTCCTTCGACGTCAATACTTAAGTTTCTCTGCATGGGCGCCTCCGCTGGCTGCGGGGCCCTTCTTTCCAGGCTGTTTCTGCGGACAGCCGACTCCTGGGTCCTCTCGTGGTCCCTGTAACCACCTCGTGGCGAAGACCTCCTGTCCGGGCTGCGTCTGGAAACTGGTGACATCTGGTTCCCTCCGTTGTGGCGCCTGAAACCACCTCGCTGCTCCGGCCGTCTTCGCCCTTCGTCCTCTTCATGTAGCAGACGGTGATGCAATCTGCGGCATCCGTTGATCTGGCACTCGCCATGCACATCACAGGATCTGGCCGCATGCCCACTCCGTAAGCATGTGAAGCAGAGCCGATGCCTCTTCACCATGCTCCATCTGCCCGGTGGCGAAGCTCCAATAAATTCGCTGCAGCTCGTCGTAGCATGTTGACCTCCACAAATTGGACAACCTCCATGCCGGTCATCCCGCTGCTCGTATCCGTTCTGGTCGACGCTCGCGTGTAGAACTCGACGCCTCGGCTCCTTTCCATCGACGTCCAAAATCGTACACACGATGTTTGCGTACTCCTGTAGCCACGCGCTGAAGTGCGCTACAGTGGGAAAGGGTTGGATCGATGCAGCGTGCCTGGCCCAATCCACTCGTTTGCTGGTGGGAAGCTTTGCCACAAGCTCCTCCATGAGTGTGGGGTTTCCCAGATGTTGCTCCGCCTTCGCCGACTGCAAGAAGGCCGTGAGGTTACTCACTCTGGTTGCGAAGGGGACGATCCTCTCCAGTTGCTGCTCCGAAATCGGCTGCACCTCTCGCACGCTGTTCAGCTGGCTGCGTATTAGCTGCTCCGGTCGGCCAAACCTAAAGCGCAGCTGCTCCATCACGGCTCTGACATTCGCAGGGTGAATCAGCAGCGACTTCACTGTCTCGCGTGCTTCATCCTTGAGCGCCTTCAACAGCCTCTGGTTGTTCTCCAGGTCCGTGCAGTTGTACGCTTGGGTCGTCTCCACAAACGAACAATTAAAAATGGGCCAATCCTCGGGCTGCCCTCCAAATATAGGCAAGTCCGGGAGCCTCCTTGGTCCAATAGCTTGGGTTCCATTCGGTGTCATCGAGGCGTAGGATCCCACGAATGGCGATGCAGTTGCCACGTTGTGGATGCTCCCGCCCGGTAGCGCGAATCCATGCGCTGTCTGCGCAGCACTTGTAGCGCACAGTGGGTTGCTAGTCGTTAGCAACGGTGGTCCACTCCAAGATGGCGGCAGCGTGTAGGCCCCACTGGTCGCACCGAAACTGCTATATGGGTCCGGCCCGACCCCGTTAGTTTGGGCCTCACCGTTCAATGTGGCGGCTAATGGCGGTCCGCTCCACGATGGCGGCCGCTCCGACGCTCCACTGTTGGCGCCATTTGCGCTTGGCCCAACTGGGATTGGCGCGCAATTGGCGGTGCTCGTTGCGTTCATAGCTCTAACCTGCTTCAGCTCGTTCTCCAACGCCGTAATCCTCTCCAATAGGTACGCCGTGAGTGGCTGGCTCACCTCCGGCTCTGAACTCGCAGCTGTGACAGCAGTACTCCTTAGTTGGGACGCTACTGTAGTCGCCGTAGTGGCTGGGCGAGAAATGGCCGCCGCCGTGGTTATGTTCACCCGCGGCCGATTTTCTGCTGCATTACTCGCTGGCTGCTGATCCGCTCGCGTTGTAGGGGTGGCTTCCCCTCCGTTCAGCCGGGAACTCCTCCTGGGGGAGTGCTGCATCTCCAAGTGTTCAAATATGGCGCTGCCCTAGCGCTCCAAAATGGCGCTGCCCTAGCGCTCCAAAAATGGCGGACCTGTGCCGTCTGGCTGCTGCCGCTGATGCTTGGCGCTCCTTGCGCTTCCTATCCTGACGCTGGCTGCGTCTCCTGAACTGACGCCGGCTGCGTCTCCAGAACTGACGCTGGCTGCGTCTCCGTGTCGCTGGCTGCGACTCCGTCCGTACTCAGTGTTTGGCGCTGGCTGCGCCGCCTATGTCGCTGGCTGCGACTCCTCTACTGGTACGGGAACTGCGCTCCGTGCGCTCCTGGCAACTCTCTTGCTGGTCGTCGAGCCGTCCTCCAGCGCAAGTTGCCCTTGCAGTCTACCTAGGACTGCGAATAAAAGCTGTTGTTTTGTGAAGTGAGGAGTTGCCTTAAACGGCTCCCCCACGCGTAGGTCCAAAGAAAGGTGAACTTCAAAGGCCTGTTGCTATGGCGTATGGAACGTTTTATTCTGTAAATTCATTAATTTAGTTAACAATTCAAATATATCTCTCCTTCTTACCGCAGTGTGCCCTCCTACGATCAACAAAACAATGAATGGCACTTTTTGGCGGCATTCACACTACCGCTATTAGTAGGCCCGTAGTTCCGATAACTTAAAATACTACATTTCCTAATAATACTGACTTAACTATCGATAACAATGTTTTGACCGTCGACAATAATAATTCAAGGGTTCACGGGTATGCATACAAGGGTTACGCATTTACCCCTTCTTATGTATAAAAAAAATCTAAAATTCCACCATATTAGTACCAAAATTACAAGAAAAACATTAATTTCAATGCCGTCAAATTGCAAAAAAAAATTTATATATTTCAAATTTTCATGTAAAATTAACATTTTTTCGCATAATAAATACTTAAAAATTATAATTATAATTTTTGCAGTCTACCGACTGAAAAACTGTACATTGCGACTGTAAGTTGTTTTGGGAAAACTTAATAAATATAAAATGTTTGCTTCACTAATATCTACTGTAATTTATATTTAAATTGATATTACTTGTGGGCAAAAATAAAAGTTTCGCGGTTTTCCTCTGACAGGTTCACTATTCTTCCCGAATTTGAAAAGATAATCAGACGATACTATCGTAGAGTTTGCTTTAAGGGCTTAGTGGACCACTGTCACACTTCACATGTGCGCTGAAACAAACCTCAATTGAGTAACATATTTTTTAAGCAGTGAAATTCCCGGCAGCTACACAAGATGTCAGTCCGAGCAATTGGAGTGCTGGGTCAGGCACGTCACCTATGCCGCCTTACAGGGTCAATGCGCCAATGCCGTCGCCCCGCTTTGGGTGCTCTCAGTCGCGCGGTGGATTCGCAGCGATCGCCGGCCGGTAAGACCCATCTTTTGATATCCAGGCGAAATCTTTATGTAACAGCAGTCTACTTCTTTCCAGGCTTTCAGTTGCGGTGCTTTGCTACCGAAACAGAGGCCAAGTCTGGTAATGTTGTAGACAAGCACGAGTTCCAGGCGGAAACACGCCAGCTTCTAGACATTGTGGCCCGCTCGCTGTACTCCGACCATGAGGTTTTCGTCCGAGAACTTATTTCTAATGCCAGCGATGCACTGGAAAAGTTCCGTTATACACTTCTTAGCAGTGGAGAAGCGGACCTGGCGGGCAAGGATCGGCCTCTGGAGATCCGCATCACCACGGACAAGCCGCTAATGCAACTGACTATCCAAGACACGGGAATAGGAATGACAAAGGAGGAGTTGATCAGCAACCTTGGTACAATTGCTCGCAGCGGCTCCAAACAGTTCCTTGAGCAAATGAAGAGCAGCCAAAAAGGTGCCTCGTCTGAGGCTTCCTCCAACATTATCGGACAGTTCGGCGTTGGCTTTTACTCGGCCTTCATTGTGGCCAACAAGGTTGAGGTCTATACTCGGGCGGCCGTGCCAAATGCACCTGGATTGCGCTGGTCCACGGATGGTAGTGGTTCTTATGAAATCGAGGAATCGTCGGAAGCCGAGTTGGGAACAAAGATCGTGTTGCATCTAAAGACGGATTGCCGAGAGTACGCTGACGAAGATCGCATCAAGGCTGTAATAAAGAAGTACAGTAACTTTGTGGGCTCACCGATCCTTCTTAACGGTAAACAGGCTAACGAGATCAAACCGTTGTGGCTATTAGATCCTCAAAGTATCAGCAAGGAACAACACCACGACTTCTATCGTTTCATTAGCAACAGCTTTGATATTCCTCGCTTCACACTCCATTACAAGGCCGATGTGCCGCTAAGTATTCATGCGCTACTGTACTTCCCGGAGGGCAAACCCGGTCTGTTTGAGATGTCTCGCGACGGAAACACTGGCGTTGCCCTTTATACTCGTAAAGTGCTCATCCAATCTAAAACCGAGCACTTACTGCCAAAGTGGCTGCGTTTCGTGAAGGGCGTTGTCGACTCCGAGGACATTCCGCTGAATCTCAGCCGTGAACTGCTCCAGAACAGCAGCTTAATCCGCAAGCTTTCGAGTGTGATCTCCACCAGAGTTATCCGCTTCCTGCAGGAACGCGCCAAAAAGCAACCAGAAGAGTACGAGGCCTTCTATCAGGACTACGGACTTTTCTTAAAGGAGGGGATCGTCACTTCCAATGACCCGACCGAGAAGGAAGAGGTTGCCAAGCTCCTGCGTTTTGATTCTTCAAAGTCTGATACGCCAAGTGGTCGTATGTCTCTGGAGGAATACTACAAGACTGTTCCAGCTGAGCAGCAGAACATTTACTATCTGGCAGCGCCCAACCGAGTCCTGGCTGAGTCGTCGCCGTACTACGAGAGTCTAAAGAAGCGTAACGAACTGGTTCTATTTTGTTACGAACCCTATGACGAGCTGGTCCTGATGCAACTGGGCAAATTCAAAAGCAAAAAGCTGGTGTCTGTAGAAAAAGAGATGCGCGAGGAATCTAAGGATGTTAATGCTACCACCGACTTTGGCGAAGGCAGTTTGCTGCACTCTGAACTGGACTCTCTAATACCCTGGCTGGAAGGAGAACTAAAGGGCCAAGTCGCCAAGGTAAAGGCCACCTCCCGCTTAGACACTCATCCGTGTGTAATTACCGTTGAGGAAATGGCAGCGGCGCGTCATTTCATTCGCACTCAAAGCCACCAGGTTCCAGAGCAGAATCGATTTGCTCTTTTGCAGCCTGAGTTGGAAATTAATCCAAAGTGAGTTTATTTTGAATATTATTTGAAATCAGTTTTTTCACAAACATGTCTTGCAGGCACCCTATTATCAAGAAGCTCAATAAGCTCCGTGAAAGCGACCAGGAGCTGGCCCAGCTTATTGCCAAACAGCTCTTTGCAAACGCAATGGTGGGTGCTGGCTTGGCGGAGGATCCGCGAATGCTCTTGACCAACATGAACACCCTGCTGACACGTGCATTAGAAAAGTACTAAAGTACAGATGAGCGGTGCTCCTTTGTTATCTACCGATATTCGTTTAATTAGTTAATAAAAATTTTTAAAATAGGTGTATAGTTAAAATTGCGTTTTTCTTTGATAATTTGGAACTTTTCAATTTTTATAAAATATCACTCAATTCATGATTTCGCGCTATGCGTTAAGTTTTCGTAATTTTCAAAAAATGATATTGAATGTTCCTAATTACATAATTAAAAATAAAAGGCTTAAATAACTTTAACAAAATTAATAAAATGTTTTTGGACTTTGAAAAACTCTAGGTATGCTCTACTAATTTCAATAAGAACTACAAAATCGATCATAGAAAAATAGATTTCTAGTGGATTTTTAGTGGTAGGAAGGAGTGAGAGTGAAAAAATTATGGTACTAAATGGGAACTTTATATGTGGTCTAAGGAGTTATGCAGTCAAACGTCCAGAAAATTTAATAAATAGCCCGCAATCATGATCTAAGTGATATTTTTAAGGAAAAATAAAATCTAAAATTAAGATTATTCTTGGTTTTTATTTTTTTGCTCAGAGAATGGTGATTATTTTTGATTTTAATTTTTTTGCTCAGAGAATAATCATTATTTTGGGATTTTTAAACCCTTGCAGAGTGATTGATCGGTAATGGTATTTTTTGGTATATGGAATATTTTAATTTTGTTTTCTAATAAATAGGAACATAGAGAAGGAATCATCTCCGACCCCATAAAGTATATATTCTTGATCAGTCGAGTCGATATAGCCATGTCCGTCTGTCGGTATGAACGCACAGTGTATGTATGGAACCGCGGCCATAAATACTTATAGATATGCTATCGCTATGAAACTTTCACCAAAAATCAAGAAAAATATTATAAACATATGATAAAAAAAAGTTACCAGATCGTACCACTATATCCTATAGCTTCCATAGGAACGATTGCATCAACGATGGCGCTTTCATGAGAGAGCAGTCATAAAATCATTTCTAATGGTCAGATCAGGCTAATATTTCTACTGTAAGTTATTTAAAAACATAATACTAAAATAAAAAAAAAAATTGGAATGATTGATTAACTACTAATTGCGGTTTATTAACCGATTGATTAACTGCGGCTTCTTCAGAAAGCTCTCCAATCGATAATAAAGAATGTTTTATAATATCAGGAGCATGAAGTAAAACTTTATGAACCGATGGGGGGAGATAAAACAACTGGAGGTTTTATCTCCCGCTCATCGGTTTATCTTTTATCTAGGTTGATCTACTACTAGACCCATTTTAGCCCTGAGCTCATTATGAATAAATTGTTTTCTCAATGAAATCTTGTCTTTAGCCTCTTAGGATCGAGTTCGAAATACTTTTTGTCCAATTTGTACGATAGGTGAAGAAAATATTCAAAAAATCGAATATACGCATAAAGCGGTGACAGTCCAAACTCAAATCATATCAAATCAAGACGGAAGAATATAAGAGGCCGATTTGGAATGTCCTAATGGTAGATATTTAAACTAACTGGTATACAAAGTTTCAATTATTTCACCATTCATTTCACTGACTTTTTATGCGTGCATTGCCGGGGTGCAATTGCATTTTTTAACCAGTACGAGGGTATATTGTAGTCGTGTGAATGTATGTAACACAGAGAAAGAATCATTTCCGACCATATAAAATATATACATATATATGTATGTATGTAAATTCTTGATCAGCATCAACAGCCGAGTCGATATAGCCATGTCCGTCTGTCCGTATGAACGCGTGGATCCTAACCAGCTGAAGAGTATTATGAGCAGGTGCAGCACTCTTTAACAGTCTCTCTTTGGCGAGAGACTGGGAATTTCAACAACAGCTGTTCTTGTTGATAAATAGCATTCTTTGTTGGCCGTGGGGGAGCAACTGGATGGTAAATGCAAGTCAGCCCCCCACAACAGAATTTTGCAAGTAAATATATTTCAGCGGAATAGATACTATACATACCTCAGGGAAATAAGTATATGTACATTGATACCCTGCAGTTCTGAGCACTAGTTCGTTGCTGGTGAAATAAGCACTTACCAGCAGACCACCACTACTTACAAAGTGGCGTCTAGCCATGCGTTTTTTAATTTCCATTTTTGTATGAAATGTCCGCAAATAGGGTCAATCGCCACCGCCTCGATTACCCACGAACTAGTGAAATAGTGCATCATATTAGGGTCTTTAAAGAAACTACTTACATTAGACCCCATGGAACGGCCGGTACGGCCGGATAAGTGCTTACATGGGACCCCATGGAACGGCCGGTAAAATAAGTGCTTACATTGGACCCCATGAAGAGGTCGGTGAAGTAAGTACTTACATTGGACCCCATGGAGGGGCCTGCCATTATAAATTAAAAAACATGTACAATTGCAATTACAGTTTTTATTTAGTTTAAATTTTTTTTTTTTTAACGGGGTTTGTTCTTTCATTACTTTTAGGCTTCGTGAGTTTTTAAAATCTCTTTTTTTGGAGCTGCAGGGCCTTTCTCAATTGTTCCTCAGCTGGGCCAATACCGACTGCAGTTATTGAATCTAGAAATAAAAAGGATTAAACAAGTTTTAATAGATTAAAGTGTATAATGATTATTAAACAATTATCTTTTAAAATACTCACCGATTATAACGCCAAAAAAAATTTCTTCTTTTCTTAGGGGACCTTTCCCCTGAACGCCATCCACATTATACGCCCAGACCACTTCATTGGCTAAAATATATTTATACATAAAATATACATAAACATATTTTATATTACAAACATATATTATTTTTTAAGTTACTCACCTAATAATCGATTGATCCGCTTTGCACTTCTTAGCTCAAATGCTTGCAAAAATTTCGTCAGCCAGCAAACACTGCTGCGTTTGAGCGAAAGAGTAGCACAAAATAAATCCAACTGTTCTTTCTGGACAATTGTTTTTGTAAGCAGTGCACCGAAAACGCGTAAACAAACAGCGATGTAAAGCATAATCGAAGTTTTGTCTTTAATCTTGTGTATGCTCTTTCCACAAAATAACAAAAACAAAAGCGATGCTTGCCGTTATTTTGTACTTATGCGCTAATGCGCATATGTATATTTATTAACTGGGTGGTTCGACGTTCGATTACTATAGGGTTAATCTAGTAAGTACCCATGTAGTGATCGGCGAGGTAAGCACTTACCCATGGCCAATCGACACCTCCAGTTCTGCAGGGTATTTTTAGCAAAAAAACGATTTAAACAAAACAAATCAATCCAACTTTTATTGGGGTATGTGGTACTCCTATGTAAAAATAAAAATAATAATAACAAACCTTTTATTTTCTTAAACTTATTAAAGAACTGAATTAATTAATAATAGTTCATAGGAAATAAGTATATATACATTTTCAGTAATTACTATAATATCAATATCTATGTAAGTATTTTTTATCTTTTTAGTTATTTTAATAGTTTATATGCTTTCCTTTTGCTATTATAACTTTGTTAAGGCGATCCGGCATAGAATCCACCAATCCTTTCAGAATATTATCATTAATTTGATCCCATTCAACAACCAGAGCGTCTCTCAGTTGTTTGATGGTGTCAAATTGTCGGCCATTTTTATAAACTCTGGCCGAAAGGATGCCCCAGAGATCCTCAATAGGATTTAAGTCGGGGCTTACGGCTGGCCAATCTAAAAGTGGAATTTTTCTTGACGAAAAAAACTCCTTTGTGGTCCGTGCAGTGTGGATTGGGGCGTTGTCTTGCTGGAAAGTCCAATTATCCCCGTAAAGGTTCCCAGCGTACTCGATGAGGACATCGTCCAACAATTAAGTATATATCTCTGCATTTGTTCTTGCAGTAATAAAACAAATTGGAGACCTTCCCGCATACCCGAAAGCAGCCCAAACCATCAAGTAGCCTCCGCCATGGTTTCGCTTATGCCGGGTTTGCCTTGGTTGCCTTATGTCGCGCCAATACTTCTGACCCATCTGGACCATCTAAATTAAACTTTTTTTCGTCCGAAAAAATTACTTCGCAAAATTCCTCTGTCCAAAATTTATATTTTTCCGCGAAGGATAATCGTGCGCTTAGATGGCGTGGTAGCAGCTTAGGTACAGGCACTCGGGTACTATATTTAATGTTATTATTTTTAACTAAAAGTTGATGGACCCGTCTCCTAGTGAAATTAAGATGTAAATGACGTTTAATCTCGTTGCACGACATTTGTTTGTTTACAGCTAGGCGCTGAATTTCGCGTTTGCACTTAGGGTCGATGCTACTAGGTCTGCCAGAGCGTTTTATTGTACCATATTTTTTCGGGTTTTTTAAAAAGTTTCTAATGGTATGTCGGTGTCGAGAAACTCTAGCAGCTATTTCAAAAATTTTACATCCGTTTTCATTCATTGCTGTTATTATTCCGCGTTCTTCGGCTGACAAATGGTCTCCGCGTGGCATGCTAAGGTAAAACCGTAATTATATTTACATTTTTCACACAAACACCAATCAACTTACATTTGTTGGTTTGCAAATAAGCTCTTCTCTTAAAAAAAACAATTCCGGACTAATTTGCTGACCAAAAGACTTCCACTCTTCATTCAAACCACGCTAGTTTATTTTTTTACATATACTTATTTCCTAAGAAAACCTTCTGGCGCCACAGAATAAAGTGATAACGGTACTAAGAATGATGACCGAAAACAAATTTCGTAGAAGCATTTTATAAATAGATTGCAACTGCACATAATTGCATACCAAGATTAAATGCGCAACGACAATAAGTAAAAATGAAGTCAATAATATTTTTGTACATATACTTATTTCCCTGAGGTATACATAGTATGTATTACATACTTAAAAATGAAAGGTCGCAACGAAAGTGCGTGCTTTGTTTTTGTTTTATTAAACGATGGGGTCCGCAACGATGGGGTCTGGCTGCACCTGTATGCGTGTGTGGAGAGCGCCACATATGGATCCATATCCATCCACATATGTTCAAATTTAAAATAAAATAACGACTTTAATTGTTTAGTAACGATATTAACTAATATTAGTTAATATTAACGATATATTATTAACGATATTAACATAATTTACATAACTTTACTTACAAATTATAAACTTAATTTCAATTTACAGTGGTGTGATTTTTTCCACATGTGGCACTTGCGTTAACCGATGGAATCAGATGGGTACATAAATCCAACATGTGTTCCAAAAATAAGCAATAAATAATAAGTTTCATTTAAAATAGTTCGGAGTCGGAGCCTGTGGCGGGGAACAAACAACATTATGACCATCGTGTCTAATGTACCATTATCACGGCCCTTATCATTAATTTGAAAAATACAAAATTTAGATGCCAATAATGTATTATGGACGACAAGGCCCAATGATCCTATTGTTTCAATCGAAAATCCTTATTGAAAAACATTTCAAAAATTGCCACACAACACCCAAATTGAATCATTGTGAATTCTGTCCATATTCCAAGGAACTACCATATTGGAATGCACTTATTGTATACAAAATGTTCGGAAATTAATAATAATTTTCTTGGGAGAAGGGGGTATTGTTGATGATGCCAGAGGAGGTGGAGGAGGCAGTGGAGGCAAAGGTTATGCGGGCGAGTTTTTCTTTTTTCAAAGTCAACCAATTTTTCCATACCTCCTTCATCACCCCCGCTGGCTCATAACACCCCCTTCACCCCCGAACATTTTCGATGCTTTAAATTCATTCCAAAGTTCGGTAATTCCTTGGAATATGGACAGAATTCACAATGCATCAATTTTGGGGTTTCAAGGCCATTTACAAAATGCTTTTCAAGAAGGATTTTCGATCTAAATTCCTTAAAACAATAAGGGCATTGGGACCCCTTTGTGGCCCAAACTACATTATTTGCATCTAAATGCCAGGTGGCAATGGCACAATTCTTCAAACTAAAGGTTAAAGGTTGTGTTGGTTCATTAGACACGATGGTCATAATGTCACCAACTGCAACTCGCTTACTTTGCATCTCCGCCACAGGCTCCGCGTCCATGTTGCTGGTGGATGTGCTGGTTCTGGTGGGGTGAATGTTGTTGATGGTGCTGGTGTTGTTGTTGGTGGTGCTGGTTCTGGTGGGGGGGTGAATATTGTTGATGGTGCTGGTGTTGTTGTTGGTGGTGCTGGTTCTGGTGGGGGGGTGAATATTGTTGATAGTGCTGGTGTTGTTGTTGGTGGTGCTGTTCTGGTGGGGTGAATATTGTTGATGGTGCTGGTGTTGTTGTTGGTGGTGCTGGTTCTGGTGGGGGGGTGAATATTGTTGATGGTGCTGGTATTGTTGTTGGTGGTGCTGGTGTGATGGATATGGTTCTGGTGATGATGCTGTTGTGGTAAAACTGCGAACATAAGAAAAAAATATGTATATCTTTCGGCCACTTTTGATGAAAACTGTAATACCTCAGCAAGGGTATTAAATACTTAAGTACTTACCGTACAATTATAAAAAATTTTGTTTATTTTTAATTGTTGACCAAGTTGACCAATTTTGCTGCCACCAACTCGCTCTTTTGTTTTGATTAATTGGCAACGCTTCAAAATATGGCGGCGTCCCCTGCGTCCCATCCCTATCTACACATGTGACATTGCACCGTGATTTCATCATGCAATACTTGAAGGAATTAAAAATTATAACTGATTTAAAAATTTCAGAATCATTTCTGGAATTGTTAAAGATGCGAAAAGAAACTCTCGAAAATGGATTTTCCATTTTGGAGAGTAATTTACAATTCCTGTTGGTTGAAGAACCATTTTTTATTATATTTGATGAATTCCATCTGAAACATGTGAATGTAAGTATAAAAATTGTTATATTATATATAATATATTTACTAATTAATATATTTTTAAAAAATGCCCCAAATAAATTGAAAAACTGGAAAATATTTTCCATAGCGGTGTCCAATTTGGCGGGACACTTGCAAATTGTTTATTTGCGAGCGGTAAGTACAATAAGTACTTCATTTTATTAAAATGAAATTAATTAAATTTTTTTTTAGGCATCTAGTGGCATTCAAAAAATATGATCGACTGCCATTTTGGAGGGAGTAAAGCAAGTGGTCAGCAGTATACAAAAAAGCACCCGGCTTACCACCACATTGGTCGGTGCGGTAGCAGATAAATGCGCCGCCAATATGGAAGCCATTAAATTCCTGCAGAACCACGGAATCCCGGTTCTGTACGATTTGCTGCACTTCCAAGCTACAACGACAAGATCGGAATTTATGGATGTAATAGTGACCTCTATTTACACCATTGCCATCTTCAGAAAGGACAATTATGAGAAAAAGTTGTCAGGTTTTGAACGGTTGGTGAAGAGGAGAGTACCCTCCCCATTGCAAGACCGTTACAAAGAAGAGGTAAGTTTCCAAAAATAAATAAAACAAACATTTTATTCATTATTTTCATTAATTTCAGTTGCTTTCCCTCGGGTGCCTATTTGGTAAACTGTTCCATCGATTCCCAAATAGGACATTCCGTAGGACAAAATCTGACATTGCTGAATTCCAATTACATGGAGGATTTGGGCGCCAAGCTGGCCCAATCTGTCCATCTTGCGGCAGAGGAGGGCTTCGCGAAATTCCCGGGTATTATATATCATGAAACCGACTATAGGCGTAATTTCTTGTTTTTGTACTACTTAGACCTTTAGTCTTTAATAAAGTATAATATATTATAAAAAAAAAGATTGGGGGAAACAAAATAACATTTACATAGTAGGGGAAAATCGGTTTTTCTTGAATAGCTTCTAAAAAAAATGATGATTGATTAATTCGTCAATCGACGCGAATTCAAAATTAAAATGGTATTAGAAAGAAATATTTTGTCTTGAACCTCCAATATCTCCACTATCCCCAATTTAGTGAACCAAAATACATTTACGAAAATTTCTCCCAAACTTATAGACTTATGGCAAATGTTTTGACAAAAATATCTAATTTGAGTAGAACCTTTCGTTTGAAATATGATGCGGTTCGCCTCCATGTAACACTGCCGTGCATAGTTATCATAAAAACAACATTTTCTAATGGAAGATGTTTTAGTTCTTATTGAAATTAGTAAAGCTTATTTTGTTTGAATTTTCTGTTTAAGAAATAGACAAAAGACATTTTATTGAATTTTTTATAATTTTGTTATAATTTTTGGCCAAGGACAAATATTGGAGTTTTTTTTATTTATAAATAAATAAATTTTGATAAATAGATATTTTAAAAATTATATATGAAATTTTTATATTATCAAAATGACAATTGAAATGTTTATTTCAATTTTGCAGAACTTTTCCTTTTGGTAACCGCAGCAGACAATTTCGCAGACACCTATCGATGGTACTATCGATACATTGATTCAATTATACCCAGTGCTTAAAAACACTGAAAAAGAGTGATGCAACTAAAAATCGATAATTGGGACGACAGTCGAATGAGTTTATTCGATGTTTCCGAATTTTTACCACCTCTAGACGTCAGCCCCGTGACTAAAGTTTATAAAAGCCAAGCAAAGCTTCAAGCTCCGAGCAGCAGCAGCCAGCAGCAACCCGAAGAAGCCAGCCACAGAGCAGCAATTGCTTTAATTAGATTTCTAATCACGTGAGTGGAAAAAAAACAAAGTAAATAAGCGGTCATGTGAGAAAAAGTTCCTCGAAAGTCCTAATCTACGCTGATAACACACTCCTGCTGCGACCACTTGAATTCGAGTCAAGTTGAACGAGAAAGAAAATTTTTACCAAATTTTCTGCCACGACACATGTACGCACGTACACACACAAAACCCCATCTCGCAAAGAGAGCGCCTGCGCAGAGAGCGGAGAGACAGTGAAAAGTACAAAAAATCAAGTTGGAATATGTGAAATATGTCGGAAAGTACAAGTTTTAAACGGCAATTCAAGTGAAGTTTTAAACAGCCCGCATGTGACAATGTGGGTGTGATTTTTTCAGGCCGTTGCCGTTGTCATTGCCAATCGCTGATTGCCGTTCTGTCATGCGCTCGCTCTTCAACGCACACAGGCACATGACGACACATACACATGACAAAATCCAATAATCTCTCACCGATACTCCGACACTCGTCCAATTTCAGTCTCAGTCTCGTTTCATTTTGCGCGCTCACTCGCTCATTCGCAAAAAATTCGTCGACGCAGCAGCAGTGTGTTCGCAGAGCAGCGTAAATAATTTTACATATATCCACATATATTGTACATATAATAAAAATACTTTGTTTCGACTCGGGGAAACGCATACACATGAACTTTCGCTGAAGTCTAACCAGTTGTTGCCAGTTGAAGCGTACTACAATTCCCAACCTTTTCTTCTTTTTTTTTAGCCTAAAACAAACACAACAAACAAAGCAAAATGTCTTCTGAAGTGAGCAGCGACAACCCCATCTATGGCCCCTTCTTCGGTGTTATGGGCGCCGCCTCCGCCATCATCTTCTCGGGTAAGTTGGAACCGAATCGTGAGCTAGAATTAGATTCAGATGCCTGCCATGCCATGCTGTGAAAAATCGAACATTGTGTGGCGTAAAGGGTGGAAGAGGAAGATTACAGAAGCCAGTAGTGGCTGTGTAGATGAGCGCCTTCGTAGGTGGTAGTAATGCCAAATAGCGGCAAGTGTAGACAAATTCACGCACACAACGGAGCTCCACCTCTCGCGTGTGTGCGCGTGACTAGCAATAAATTTGATATATTCCCGATTAGGGGACTGCCCTTTGGAGCAAAATAGTGCCAGCCCATTCCCACCTGTAGAAGTTTTAAAAATTATCAAAGGTTATTCCGCTGTGGCCGCATTATAAAATAAAATTCGCCTTTTGCTAAATACAGCATTACTCATACACTCACACTAACGACTTCAATTCTCTTTTCATCTCTCTTGGAACAGTGCGTCTCTCTCGCCCTCGGTGGCATTGAGTTCGTTTGTGTGAGTGAGAATGAGAGAGTTACTGTTTTTGGTGAAGTTTATGAAACTCGCTTTCCCTTTCCCACAACAGTCACAAGACCAGCTGGCAGTGTTGCCATATTAAAGTTTTTCTTTTTGTTTCTCGATTAAAATGTAATTTGGAAAAATAAACTCCAGGAAACACCGTGGCAGCGCGGAGAGTTTATTTTTCCAACGGCGCGTGCCCTGATCGCATTTCCCTGCTTACAAACGCCCCCGATCAGCTGATAATTGTTTGTCATGAAACCCCTGTAATTGGAAATATTTCTGAGGCCCTAATCACATGCCAAAATCGTCTTCTTCGTGATCAATAGGTGCCTGGGCCGCGTCACATGGCTAGGGAACGATCGTTTTTTCACATATTATCAGGCCCACTCATTCTGTATTTAACCTGCTTGATAAGTAGCTTATTTACCAATTGACTTGGCCGCGATAAGATAGGAAAGCTTCAGTAACTGTCGCAACAATGGGGCAAACCCAGGGTACCAAAAAACAATAGGTAGACACAGGTTGCTCTGATTCTCCTCGCCAAACGCTTTCCACTAAGCCAACTCGCTCGTGACGCAATCCTTATATCACGCTCTGGAACCCGTCTTGTGATTTGCACCTAGCCCCTCGCCCCCCGTTCTGATAATACAGGGCCAGGTTCCTCATGTGTTTACCTGGCCCATTATCATTGCCCGACGACTACAAAGCCAGTCAACTGCTTATGCAATTAAAGTCAACAGCATAAATCAATTTAAGGTTTTTGATAGTGGGGATGGGATCCGGTGGATCTGGCAATGCCGTTCCCGCACGATCACATGAGTGATCTCCACTCTCTCCAAAGCGGTTGGCTTTTCCGCTGCCGGACGCACTGACTCACTGGCCAGCGAGCAATGGGCGTTGCTCGAATGCTGGCTTCTTATCAGTCCTGGCCCTCTGGCACTGGGTGCGACACAAGTCCAGCATCCGCCTCCGCCAGGGCTAAAAATACCCGAAGTGACTTGGAAGTCCTTCACCCAGTGACATCCCGCTACCCGCACGTACACTCCCACCCACGATTGCCTGCGCAATCGCAGTGGCGGAAACTTAGTAGATATACAGAGAATGGTAGCGTAGTCGCTGGCTAGTAAATTATGTAAAGGCACGGGCTGACTAATTGAAGGATGCACGTGGCTTTACCACAACGTTAGAGTTTCCCAGGCTCCGCTTTTATAATTTCCTGCTTGAGCATGAGGGTGTGGGTGGGCGGCAGTCCATTCACCGAGTGTTGGGTGAGCAGGCGCATGTCCGTCTCAGCAGCGGCCTAGATTGCACTTTAATCAATGAACGCGATGGCCATCACGTACCGCGCACCTCACCGGATAACCAGCAGCGAGGGTGTCCCTCCACCGCAAGAAGGAGTCAAACCCCACCTGCAGATGCAGCAGTGGCTGTGTTACCTCGGCTGAAACGGCCCATTGCCCTCTGATCTCTCGGATATTTCATTTATTATCGCTCTGTGGCTTCTCTTAGTCGCCGAGATGGTGCTTACTCAGCTGTGACGCCTGTGGTTTTCAGATTTCGGGGCTCTCTCAGCTCTTGCTATCTCCTAATTTTAATTATAATCCCATTTGAATGCGCTGGCACTTGCTGTTGACTCTTAGTTGCCAATCCGGCGGGGATTCTCCCCGTGTTCCCTCCCGACACTTTGTTTTCGACGCCCACTCACTCGTCTGCGATGCCGTCTGTCGCTCGATAGAGGCAATACCGACAAACAGCGCGAATGTGTTTGGAATTCTCAGCAGTTGCGGTTAAAAACACATCAATGCCACTTCAGCCTTTTGTTATGACTACCAAGTAGCTGGAATTAGTCGGAATAGTATTGGAGTCTCATCGGATATGGGGGATCTGAAACAGCAACAGCCTTATAAACTACGAGTTCGACAAGTCTGAATTGCTTCTTCCATGCATGACCCTTACTAATTAATCACAATTGGGAGCAATGCGGGCCTCACGCATATTACTTGTACAATGTATCAAGATTGTTTATCAATGGATCTTCTGCCCGTTGTAGGCTACTAGCTTCCCTGAGCCCACTTTATCCCTCGGCAGGCCTATATTTCGATTCTAACTTAATGGCAGTAATTAAAGCTTTCTGGGCTTTAAAACATGTTAATAACGTTAAGTCACATGACCGAGCGGGGGCCTCTCCCGCTCCGTTAACTCTGGCGCTCTCCTCGAATACACCCATTTGAGTGTGTATCTGAGTATGAGTTTCAGTTTGTTGTGTGAGTTGTGTGTGGCGAGTGATATTTAATTCGATTTATCAGTTGCCTCTCCCACAAACACACTCGCACTGGCGACTTGCGATCGAACTGCTGACCGTCATTTGAAACAGGTTTTGCGCTTCCACAGCCTGGCCTCTCGCAGAACAGCTCCCCTTGGGGCTAGGCTACCTGTTCCAATGACACTGATCTGTTTCCCAGCTCCCTCCCTTGGCCAGTTGCCTCCCCCGAAGACCAGTTGGGCCCTGTACACATGTACACATTGTCTTTGGCCTTATCAGAATTTCAACTGCGGGTTTCAATTACGACTCCCAGAGGCAGAGAGAGCAGCCGAATTGCTGATTCGACCAACAGTGGAATTTGAGAGGAGCAGTCGATTGCCAGCGAACTCAGCTCGCCGATGAGTGGCTCTTTTGGGGCTGCCCAAGTGGAGTGGAGGGCAGACAGGAAGCATAGGGGGTTTTTTCATCGAACACGTCAGTTATAGACGATCATGTGACTGCTTACGGCTGCAATCGCCGATCCACACAAAGTAGTTGCTGGCCCAACTCATTGCAGTGGCATTTTATGGCCAGAGTCAGAATGGGTAGCAATAATGTGAGTTTGCGTAATGCTAACAATATCAAATTTGTTTCAGAAAGGCTCAGCTGATGAACCTATGTTATGCAGTAGAATACTGGATGAACTCGAACTAAAACTAATGAACATTGTCTTTCCCCAACAGCTCTGGGCGCTGCCTATGGCACTGCTAAGTCTGGTACCGGTATTGCTGCCATGTCAGTGATGCGTCCCGAACTGATCATGAAATCCATCATTCCTGTGGTCATGGCGGGTATCATTGCCATCTACGGCCTGGTCGTGGCTGTGCTGATCGCCGGCGCGCTAGAAGAGCCCTCCAAGTACACCCTGTTCAGGTAAATATTTTAAACCTACCACACCCGAGTGCATTTCGAGTTTCTAACCTTTACATTCTTTCCATCAGGGGCTTCATACACTTGGGAGCCGGTCTGGCGGTGGGCTTCTCCGGCCTGGCAGCTGGTTTTGCGATCGGCATCGTGGGAGACGCTGGTGTCCGAGGCACAGCCCAGCAGCCCAGACTGTTCGTCGGAATGATCCTGATTCTCATTTTCGCCGAAGTGTTGGGTCTCTACGGTTTGATTGTGGCCATTTACCTGTACACGAAATAAATCAATCAATGCAAAAACACAACAACAACAAATAGACAAACAGCGCCCAGCAGTCAACAGCAGCCGAAGCAACACCATCAGCAGCCCCATCCGGCGCAGGAGCAGGTAACAATCACAACCACAAACAATCAAAGCCAACAGCAGCAGCAGTGCGCGTGCGGTGGCAGCCCTGGCGGCGGCCGTTTGTACATAGCAACAGCAACAACCACACTAGGGGCAACCACCAGGCGAACGACCACAACCAGTAGTTCGACCTGCCGGGCTACCAGAGACCCGCCGCGCACTGCCCGATTGTGGCCCTCGATTGTGCCTGCTGCTCTTTTCACTGTCACCTAGACTCGCTGGCGCGTGGTTTAGCTTAGTTATTTTCCGTTCAAAATCAGTCTTAAACTTGGAAAACAATTTTTGCAGTTAAGTTCGTAAAGTTGTAATAATTATGATTTTTGCTATATCAAGAAATCCTTCTCTTTTACTTATTATTTTGCGCTCCACAATTTTGTGTGCTCTTTGTTATTTGTTTTTTCCATTATTATTATTAAATAATGTTTAGTGTATATGTAAAGTTCGTTAAACAAAAAGAAAACTGTAAAGAAATCAACAAACAACAATTGTCAGAGAAACTTTGTAAATTTGTATTGAGCCTGTCGCGGCTGCAGCAAGAGATCAACAAATTTAGCGAAAGGGCCAAAACATAAGAACAACCCAAGCCACTCACCACCACCGCCCCCACTCGCACTCGCACTTAGCCACCTCAACCGCTTTCCGAATGCACCGGCCTCCGGGCTGGTGTCGACTGTTTGGGCGCACTCCCTACCCCCGGAGCACTGGGGGGCGGTGTGGAAGCCCAGCACAGCTGGCGCCGGAAGGCTGTTGGTGCGGGCGGGGCCGGGCTTGGCAATACTTCAACGTCTACTGCGAAAACCAACTACATGCAATCATTCACATACACACACACACAACCAACACACACACACATACAAAATGTAACTAAGTCCTATGTTTATTTTTAATTATTGTTCAATTCTAAGAATAATACATTAAAAATTAATAATAATAAATTATATATATATAATTATGATTTTTTGTGATAAGAAGATGGTAATACAACAATTACGGTATTGATATACATAATATATACAAAATATATATATTAAACAAGAAATCATAAACAATTATACATATTAACATGAGAAAGTTGTTATAAAAACGTATGAAATGCAAAGCTGAGAAACCGAAAAATACTGCAACAACTACCCCAACACACAATTTTTCCGCTGTTATTGTATAGTAAAATATTATATATAAAATATATATTATGTATAAAATATTAACAAGAAATGGTAGTAGCAAAATTATAAACAAACCAGAATACCAACATCTAAAGTCGTGCAAGCAGAACCCAAAAAGAGCGGGCGAGTGCTGCAAACTCATACCAACAAATCAGCAGCACTAGCCGGCTACAAAATCCAACAAAAAAAATTGTAAAATCCCAACAAATTAGAAGTTATAAGCAGGAACACTGAAACCCGACCGACACCAACCACATCAGGCCTATTTGTGTGGCGGGACTGGACGGACAACAACACGAACTGGTGAGGGAGGCGAGGCAAGCGGACCGACGACGCCCCGAGGAGCGGACACCACCCCTGCCCGTTGGACCCCGATGCATTCATGATGCTGAGACTGCGGAGGAGCTCAACCTGGCGGGGGCGTCGACTCCCCGGGACTTTCCGTTCTGCTTCCCTGCCTCCCGCCCCTACAATAAGGCACACACACACATCTAAGACCACAACAACAACCTGTACACGACCCACACAATTAGCATTTGTATATAAATATGTGCCGTTGCCGCTCGACCCCTATCCGGTGTTCGTCCCTCCCACCTTGACGCAGTGGTGTGGCGCCAGTGTTGCGTCCACACTGCGTTGGGGAGGGGGACCTCTGGAAACAGGCAGAGCAGCGCGATCCATCAGTTGACAATTCGAAGAACTCGCATCCCAACTGTTCTATGAGCATCCTTGTGTGGACCTCGTTTGTAATTGCTAGATGTAATGCGTTCAAATTGTACCACGAGTTCTTATTGTTATTTGTTTAAGTTGCACCCCTACCTATACATATATGCAATCGATGGCGAGGTTTTAGTAACTGTAACTGTGTATTCGAAACAACATCAAAGTAACAACCATCAACAACAGACATTGTATGAAATAAATTGTAATTTCTAATTTCCAAAACCAATTTTTTTGAATGGGCGGGGGCTCCGGTCCAAACAATTTGGAAAACTTATTTAAGAACGGGGTCTTTCAGTGAAAAACAGGTCTTTAAAGCTCAAACAACCGATCGTATAATTTCACTGTACTATTATTATATTCCACTCCGATTAAGATCACACATCCAAATAGAAACAGTGTTTTTAATATGCGTCGCATGACACGAAAATTATATATTATCTTGGGGGAGAAATAGAAATCAACCTCTTCTTAACCCGGTACTAGTGGAGTAAAACGGAACAGGGAAACAAACAAATTTTTCCCAACTCAATGAAGTGCGGTTCGTCACCCATGGACTAGTCCACAGTGATTATATCGCGTGAAGAAAATATGGATGTGCCTTAGCTTTTATTGGACAGAAATGGTCATGTCGACTTAAGGGTGGTTTTTGATCAAGTCTAGAGTCAATGGATCTACAATGCTTTGTAAAATTTTAAGGAACTCGAGTTTCTTGACTATATTATACCCGGTACTCGTCTCCTCCACCTACACTTTCACAGCAACAAATTTTTGTTGCATACTTTTCCGCTGGGGAAAAAAAACCGAACACGTATTCAGTAAGGAATCAGAGTAATATTGTCCGATTTGGATGAAATTTGTTTTCGATAAAAAATTTTCCCAAGAACCTTCCGGTACTAGAGCTGAAAAAATTTTCATTTTTTGGGGCGGAAGGGGCTGGAAAAAATGTAAAACAAACTTGAACTGCGTGGACATTGTAGGAGTGTCCATGTAAAATCCTATAGCTCGATAGTCTGCGATCCACGCGTTAATACGGACAGACATTGGACCGGATATTGAATATAATTATAATAGAGAGAAACTCAACTATTGCCGATTTGACTCGCCTAATATATCTGTTTAGGACTTAGTTGGTATGGTGGTTACGGGATTTCGTTTTCTGTGAAGTCCTTTAGGGGTCTAATTATTTGTTATACAATAATTATTTGGCAACAAATCGCTCTACCAATTGACGTTCGATGAAGGCTGGTCTGGTTATGTTCTTAAAGTAAATCAGCGTAGATACAGCAGGCACTAGCTGCGCATGTTGCAGACTTCGGGGCCACCCAGACCTCTGGGGTTGATAAGGCTGACCAGCAAAGTAGCCTAAATGACAGAGAGTCTTGTCGGGCGGGTTTCCTCGCGGCCTGCTTGGGAGACTAATGCTGACTCGATCAATAGCTGAAAAAACTGTTTATACTTTTTTTGCAAAGTCACGAAGCCTAAGCGAAATACGTTCGGCCTGGCGAGTATGAAATGGCATTTAAAATACTTTATCAAAAGCTTGTGCACACTTGGAGAAGCAATCTTCAGCTGTGATACTGCAAACACACAGAACTGTCTAATATTAAATTATTCCATGGATGGAAATAGCCTTTGACCCCCTTTATTCCACTTGTAAATATTGCCGCACTATTTTTATCTATCAGTATTATTATAATCTATTACAAGTTTAAAACTAATCATTTTTTCGAGTGTGGGGATCGTCTGCCATCTGATAAGTGCGCAAATATGTGTATTGGCAGAGAACCTACGCTTCGATCGAACCTCTATAATAGATGTTTTGCTTGCTTTTGGAAAAGCTTTGGCAAACATTTAAAAGCAGCCTGTTTGTGATACCATACTAGTAGCTTTTTGCGTTTCAAGCTGCCACTATGTCAACTGAGTTTCTTCTGTTGATCGCCACTTTGGCGATCGTTTTCTATATTTGGCAGAGGCGAGCCTTCAGCTTCTGGCAGCGCCATGGTGTCAAGTTCATCCAACCTCTGCCCGTCCTGGGCTGCACCCGAGAGTTCCTAACGGCCCGAGTTCCATTTTTCGAGCAACTCAAGAAGTTCCACGAGGCCCCCGGCTTCGAAAAGGAGCCCTTTGTGGGCGTCTACTTGGCCTACAAGCCGGCCCTGGTCGTCCGCGATCTAGACCTGATCAAGACGGTGATGATCAAGAAGTTCCAGTACTTCCACAACCGCGTTCTTCAGACGGATCCGCACGATGCCCTCGGCTTCAATAATCTCTTCTTCGCCCGCAGCCCGGAGTGGAAGGAGCTGCGCAACAAGATCTCTCCCGTATTCACCTCTGGCAAGATTAAGCAGATGTATCCTCTAATGGTCAAGGTAAGAGGGTAGGTGGTGGTCCATGCAGAGGGTAGTTACTCCAATAAGAACTGTACAAAGTAAATGCATATATTTTACGGTTTGGCCCCCTCCCGGATTGATGTATTATTATATTATTAAATCACAGACGCGTGTCCGTCCGTTTTACGCAAACTAGTATCTCAGGTTTAAAGTAAACGTTTTCAGGTTTTCAAACCACCCCTCTTCATTGCATGCATTATATATAGACATATGCATATACATACATATATGTAAATAGAAACTGCCTACAGTACTTAGCAAAACATCGTAACATATTCGACTTTGAATAGATTTTAGAAATTTGAGACTCTATTAGATGTATCTTCATAGTTTCTGCGTTTTCTTACTATCGTATTTACATTAGTATTTCTTTAATAATATACACGAATCTTAAAAGCCACTTATCTAATTACTTAAAAACAAGTATATTTTATTTTTATAAAAAAGGATAGCTTGGGAACGAGAATGTCGAAATTCTTTTATAATTTTCTAAAATTTAACTTTTATTGTTTTACTATAACATTTTGCATAATACCTTGATTGCTATTAAGCCTACCTTTTAATAGCTTATAATATTATACCTTACAATATTATGTATTTTTTTTCTTCAATCATATAAAAAAATAGAAGATTTGCATTATCAACGTTTTATTATCTTTGAGATTGTAAAATGTATCTCCATATCAAAAAGAAAATATCGTTTTTAAAACTCTGTCATGACTTTTTCAGATCGGCAAGGACCTGGAGAACAGTGCTGACAGATTGGCCGGAGGGTCGGTTCCAATAAAGAATCTGTGCGCCCGCTTCACCACCGACCTGATCGCCACCATTGCCTTCGGGGTGGAGGCCAACGCGTTGAAGAATGTCAAGAGCGAATTCTTCCACCACAACCAGGCCATCTTTGCTGTGACCTGGAGCAGGGCGATCGACTTTACCATTATCTTCATGCTGCCGGCTTTGGTGTCCATTGCCCGCGTGAAGCTCTTCTCAAAGGAGACCACCAAGTTCATCCGGAACACCATCAACTACGTCCTGGCCGAACGCGAACGGACGGGCGTTAAGAGAAACGACCTTGTGGACATTCTGCTGGCTCTGAAGAGGGAAGCGGAAACCAACCCTGACCAGAAGAACAAGTACAAGGACCTGGACTACCTGGTCGCCCAAGCCGCCATCTTTCAAACGGCAGGGTTCGAGACGAGCTCCTCAACCATGACTCTGACGCTGTACGAGCTGGTCAAGAACGAGTCCATCCAGGACCGCCTGCGCCAGGAGATTACCGACTACTTCGGAGACGAAGACCACATCAGCTACGAGCGCATCCAGGAGATGCCCTACCTTTCCCAGGTTGTTAATGAGACCTTGCGAAAGTACCCTATCGTCGGCTACGCTGAGCGGCAGTGCGCCCAGCCTGAGGAGGGCGAGCGGTTCACCCTGGAGCCGCACCACTCCATGGAGCTGCCGCACGGCATGCCCGTATACGTGTCCGCCTTGGCCATCCACCACGACCCGCAGTACTGGCCGGAGCCGGAAAAGTTCGACCCGGAGCGCTTCGACCCCGCCAATCGCAGCAACCTGAACATGGACGCCTACATGCCCTTCGGAGTGGGTCCGCGCAACTGCATCGGAATGCGTCTGGGCCTCCTGCAGTCGAAACTGGGATTGGTGCACCTGTTGCGCAACCACCGGGTCCATATGAGCGACCAGACCCCCAAGACGATCCAGTGGGCTGCCACTAGTCCGGTCATCGCCTCGAAGCACGAAATCGCCTTGCGGCTAGAAAAGGTTTCCAGTTAGAGTAAAGCCGGAAAGGCTTAATCCAAGATTAACATAGATGCTGATGCTGTGTAAATATTGTTGATATTCAATAAAGTGTTGCAAAAATACGTTCAGTTATAAGAAGGCTCTCCAAGAGGGATTCAAAGACCCTTCAGAGAGGAGGTGTTTGATCTTTAAAGTCGATCTTAAAATACGAAAAAATTAAAAACGCCATGGCTTGGCTTCATAATAAAACTACCAAGGCGAAGTATTATTAGTTTACATATAAATATTTTTAATTTTTTAGCACACATTCTATTAAGATTCCAATTTCCTTCTTCTACTAAGGTGTTCAGTAAGAGGATAGCCAGGAAGGTTCGATGAAATATGGTGCGTGAATATTGTTGCTATTGAATAATTGTAAAGTTCATTTATAAGAAGGATGTATAAGAGGGCTCCAGGTTTTTTTCGACCCAGAGACCCTCCAGAGAGGTGTTTGCAGTTTCCACAATCCAGTATGAATATAGATGGTGTGTAATTATTGTAGCTATTGAATTAAATGACGGTTGTTATAAGCACGACAAGCTCATTAAGACCCCACCCAGGTAAAAGGGTTCGATCTCCAAAGTCGATCTTAAATTCTTTAAAAAGAAACATGCCATATCTTGGCTTCCAAATACAAATTCCAATGCGAAGTATTATTTATATTCCATATATTTTTCATTTCTCGACGTATTACGAGTTCTTTTGGTTAGTCATCTTCTACTACGATTCCCATTTGAAGATAGGAAAGATGATTGTGTATAAGGATACAAATTCAAGCCATGTAGATGGAGAGTATATAATTTCTATGAGGGATCCAGATTTTATTCGACCCAGAGACCCCAGAGAAGAGCTGTTCAATCTGAAAAGTTAAAACGCCCAGCCATGGCTTCAAAATAAAACAGCCGGAGGCGCAGTAGTATTTGTTTTCCATATATTTTGTCATTTCTCAGCGCATTACAAGTTCTTCGTGTTCGTCTTCTACTAAGTTGTGTATATAGAGTTCAATAATATATGTATATAATTCTTTTGATTACATTAGTTACACCTGAAGCCACATGGCTGCTGTTCGGCTGTGTTCTTGTCTCTGCTGGTGTGTGGTGTCGGATGTCCCTGCGGGACCCTGGCCAGAACTGAATCTAAAACCAATCTGGCCATTCTTTGAAATAAGTTTAGGTTTAGCAATACATTCTGGGGTATACACGTGTATATATGTATATGTATGGTTTGCATGGTTATGTACGTACGCCTGGTAAATGCCATACTCTCTGTAATTAATTAAAGCGGTTGCAGTATTAACATTACGAATTATGGTTATGATATCGAATATATATGTATCTTGCTGGTAAACTCCTCTATTTACAAACGCATGTCTGGATAATCTGATCGGGAGAGTCAGGGTCGCTCCTAAGGATCGACCTCGAAATGGAACTCGAAGGTAAATGAATTGAAACTCGAACTCGAACTCGATTCCCGGAGCTGTGCTTATTCTAAACAGACTGTATCCAAATTTAGCAAAATATGTGTGTGTGTTAGCCTACGGTTCTTGTATCTTGTATCTTTCCCCTTGTATCTTTTCCTCTGTGTACTACGCGTATATATGTACTTCCCTTGTGTGGTTCGGTTCCGATTCCTCGGATCCCTTTGGTTTATTTGTATTTGTTCATTTTAGAAAACTTGTCTCGAAAAATTCATTGTGTTCTATGCTTGCAAAAATTTGAGGTAGTTTTATTTTATTTGAATTTCTTTCCCTTCTCGTTATATTCTTTGTTCTTTGATATTTATCTTGCTTAGTTTTCGATTTTTCATTTTAGTCGTTCTTAATCGAAGGCATCAGACGTCGAACCGAATGGAAGATTCAGCTGAGATTATTCAGCGGTTTTCGTAAAAGATATTGCTTCAGATTATGCTATCAAGCTGCGATCGAGATATACAAAAGTCTCTTCAAAATACTTTCGGTAGAAGATACATACACATATTGATTCTGCCTTACCAGCTAAACTAATCGGGCTTCTAATTAGACAACACTCAGATATACTTGATATAAACACTTCTTAGCGAGCTACTACTGTTGCAACACAGGGAACCTATTCGCAAAAGTGGGGGACTCTAGTGGCTAGTGTGGGAGTGAAGCGCCTTCCAGTCTGCACTAAACTATCAGTCGTTCCTAACAACTGTGTTCGGTTGTTCCATTACATTTGGCAGTGTTGAGTTCATTTCATCGTGTCTGTATTTATCATTAGTCGTATCTCGGCTCTGGCTTGGTTTACTTACTTTAAACACTTATGTATAAATTCATTGGCATGGGAAATTGTGAAATATGGTTAGGTTTAAGGCGAATTTTGCTTATATGCGTTCGGATTCAGATTCTGATTCGAATTTCGCATTCGGATATGTATGCAAATCATAAGCGGGTTCCTGCCGGCAGATACAAATAAAGGGAAGAACAAGTGTGATGGCGGTTCATGTCCGATTCTCTTTGATAACTTTATTTTGCTTAGTTGCCTTGGCTAAGTTATAAACGAATAGTTAAATTTACTTTAGGGCGAACCTAGACTGCGTCCTTCCGCAGTATCTACACAGTTCGGAGCTCTCTAGGGTTCAGGACTCTAGGGCCCTAGAAATGGGGCAGCCGATCGTCAAGAGGCGCAGTTCGCACCAGTTACTCTAAACGGGTAGTCGGTACTCTGGGACCTAGCTTAGGCTTATAACTGCTTGCATTGCTGTTCAAGTTGAGTACAAAACGGTTACAAATAGTGGTTGTATCTTGTAGCGGTAAATGCTTTAAGTCTTGTGTTCTTCGCGCCACGGCGCCTCACCTTACTATTAACTTTACGTTTAACTGCTCGGTTGTGCGCGTAGTTCTCCGCTCTTCCCCGGGGAAGGTTTGGCCAGTTCTAGGTGTACAATGAGGATACAATGAGGGCAATGAAACGAAAACAAAGTAGGGTCTTACACGCTGAGCTAAACTTAAAGTAGATCTACATCATCCTCTCGAACAAGTCTTGTCCACTCGGGCAGTGGTGTTTGTACGAAGTGTAAGTATGTAGGGTAAATTATAGCTAGAACTCTTTAAATCAGGATGTTTGCTAGAGCGCTCGGGTGGGCTGCGATGAGGGTCGCTGGTCCCGACTCTGACTAACACTTCCACCGGAACACACATATATACAACGACCGGTGGACGAGCCGGGACCGACCCGTGGTGGTGAGGAATTCACTAAACTAAACGGCGGTTCAACAAACAAAAATGAACAAAGCGGGGCGTACATGTGTCTCTATGAATAAGTGCTAACTTACTTAGTTGCTACTCTAACTAGCCTACTTGTCACTGTTTACTCGTTTATCGCTTCGGCTTGGGCTTAATTACTTAAAAATACTTTCGACCTGGCACCTAGATGGGCACGAGGGCGTCCGTCGTCACCAGGTCCGTCCTCGCGGCTGGCACCGCTTTGGGGGGCTTGCGGGGGTGCTTGCGGCGCTGCTGCATGTGCAGCTTGGCGATGCTGAGCACCTGCTGGTAGCTGGACACGGTTTCGCAGCTGGCGCTGCGCGAACTGCCTCCGTCGCACTCCTCTTCGTCCTCGTCCTCCTCCTCCTCGCACTCGCTGTCGCTGGCCTCGCCTTGCTGTTCGTCCACATTGTAGTCGTCGGCGAAGAGCTGGGCGTCGTAGCGCAGCCGGAAGGCTGTGGTGAGCAAGCTGTCCACGCGCGTCTTCTCCGCCGGGCGCATCTGCTTGATGTGCAGCACCTTGGTGTGCTGGCACGTGCGGTTCGCACACTCTGGCAGCCACTCGTCGGAAATACTGTCGAATAGAGGCTTTCGGTTAGAAACTGATGCGCAAACACTGACTTCTGGTTCTTACATCTCTCGGGGCGACCAGCGCACAAAGCACTCGTAGTTGCCCTGGCTGTTGCGCCGACGCATCAGGCACTGGCCCTGGAACTCGATGGCCTGGGCCCCGTTGGTGAGCGTGCTGATCTGGCGCAGTCGGTGCTGGAGACCCTCCATGATGCCCGTGTCGATGAAGTCGAACATGCGAGCTGCAATTGAAAAGCCGGTTAGGATGGTCGAAAACTAAACACAGAGGCTTGAACATACCTGAGAAGGGCTGGCGGCGGTAGCGCAACTTCTTGCCATTCTTTCGCAGCTGCTTGGGCACGGGGGGATCGGAGGTGCGCTTGCTGGTGCTCTCCTTGGCGTTGTCCGCGGCATTGAAGTGGTTGTTCACGTGTTTCTGCAGTGCCAGCTGTGGGAGGAAAGAAGAATTAGCAAAGCTCTAATGGAAAGTCGAGAGGCAGAAGACTCGAGTTGGAGACACCTACCTGGGAGCCGAACCGCAAGCCGCAGCCATCGACGATGCACTTGAACTGCTTGGAACCGCCGTGGGAGAGTACGTGGCGCTCGAGCCAACGCCGCGAACAGGACTCCTTGTTGTACACCTTGCAACCCACCCAGAGGCAGGAGAAGGGTCCCGTCTGGGTGTTCACGTGGTGTGTCTGCATGTGGTCCAGCAGCTTGGAGTTGCTCTCGTGTTTCTTGTTGCACTTGTCCCAGTAGCAGACGCCGTCGTGCCGCTTGCCGCCCTTGCCACCAGCCCCCGCTCCTGCCGGGAATCGAATGGTCTTTGGTTGCGACAGGATCGGCGAGATGGCGCTCTTTGGCAGACCGCTGCTGGAGGCCTCGGCCAGAGCTATGTCCACCACGGTGTGGGGCGTGCAGCTGGCGGTGGCCATGCAGGAGTTTTCGTCTGGCGACGCGGGCGAGGGGGCATTGCTGGCCAGGGAATTGCTGTCGGAGGCGGCACTACTGCTGCTGGCAGCCGTAGTGGGAGGACCCACTGACTTCGAGGAGCTGCAATCGAAAAGGAATTCCGATTAGTAATCTAGGGATGATGATTCCTATTCAATACTCACATTGCATCCACTATCGAGTTGCTGCTTTCGCTGTTGCTCAGACTTCCTCCGATCCCCGATTCAGGAGTGGGCAGGTTTCTCAGCCGCTTGTGGGTCCGCTGCGTCTCCAGGGAGAGCACCGACTTGTCGTCCTCTTCGTCGTAGTTGCTGCTGCCGCTACTGCTGCTGCTGCTGGTACCACCGACAGCAGTCGTGGGCGCGGGAGTGCTCGAGCCTTTGACCAGCTGTAGTGGCAGGGGCGGCGGAGGAGGCGAGTTCGTCGTCTGGGAGCAGTCTTCGCCGCCACTGGAGATGCACGACGAGGTGACCAACTCGCTGAGCATGTCCGTCTGACTGGGCGCCCGTCGACTGCACTCGCTTATATTGCTTGCAGCCGGCGAGGGGGAACCCACGGCAGACGGAGATGCTGAGGGCGACAAGGAGGGCGAGGGCGATGGCGCAGGCGTGGAAGCCTCCAGGGAGAGATCTGCCGCCGAACTGACGGAGTGCGAGTAGCTGGAGCTGCTGCTGCACGAGTTTGAGTTGGAGTTGCTGTTGCTGCAGTCGGGCAGCATTTCCTGCTTGACGGACTCTGCCTCCGCCTCCTGATCCCGGTCGAGATTCGTCCTGGGCAGCTGCCCGGCAAAGCTCTGTGGCTTCGGCGAGCTTGATGGCGCAGAGGAGGATACTCTTGAGCAGGACTGGGACAGCGTCTCCACCGGCTCAGTCTTTATCTTGCTGAAGGCCGATAGGGTGCACGAGTTCGAGGCGGACAACGCTGGCGAGGATCGCAGGCAGTTGCCACTGGCGCTGTTGCTGTTGCTGCAGCTGCTCGGCGAACTGAAGGGCAGCGGGGTCAGCGGCTGCATCGCCTTGGTCGCCTGGCAGATGGCACTGTTCGAGTTCTTGACTAGGTCGAAGAGATCGGGCGAGCTGCTGGCCAGCTTCATGGCCTGGCCCTGCTTCGCCATGCTCAGTGTGGGCGTCAGCTTCGAAGGAGCGATGCTCACCAGCGGAGGCGTGGGCGTGGATGTGGCTGATGCAGTGGTTCCTGAGCATCCTGAAATACATACAGAGGGGGGAAGGGATTTCAATAAGAGTCTCATGACAGATCGAAGGCTAAATTCGATACCAACCTGTCACCGAAATGAGGGCGGATGCCGCAGTTACAGTGGCTGCAGATCCTCCTGGGGCTGCTGCCTGCAGGCGCTCCGTGCTCTTGCGCAGCTGACCCAGCTCCTTGGTGGCCGACGTGGGCACCAGAGGCGGTGGCGTGGTCGGCGTGGCTATGATGGGAGCAGCACCCACTCCGGATGGGAACTTGCCGCTGCCCTTGGCGGCCATCCGCTTCTGGTAAGGCTTAGCCGCTGGCACGGCCCTCTTGCCTGCTGGCGCGGCTGAGACCGTAGCAGTTTGGGCGGGAGCTGGCGCCGAGGATATGGTCACCAGTGGGGGTGGCTGCGTGGAGCTGTGCAGCGGCGGCTTGATGATAGCGCGCTGCGGCTGTTGGGGCTGTAAGTTGCTTAAGTTATTCGAGGCAGTGAGGTTGTTGCTGTTGTTGGCAGTGGTGTTGTTGGCAGTGTTGTTCGTGGCAGCCAGTGGGGGTGGCTGGGTGGCAGTGATGAGTTGCTGCTGCTGCTGGTGCTGCTGGTTCGACAACAGCAGCTGGGCCAGTTGTTGCTGCTGCATCTGCAGCTGCTGCTGCTGCTCGGCCGACGGCTCGAAGATGGAGCTCAGGGCTGGTATCGGCTGTAGGGCGGGCAACGCTTGCTGCTGCTGCGGGTGCTGCTGCAGCGCCAGGGAGGCAGCTACCTTCTGCTGTTGCTGCTGGTTGTTGGCGGCAATGGCGGCGGCTAGCATCGCGGGTAGGCTGGCGGCATTGAGCAGGAGCCCGGCCGGGGTCGCCATGAACACGGGCTGGGCTGCAGCTGCTCCTGCTCCGCTCTGGACCAGACGCTGCAGCTGCTGCTGCTGAGTGACGACCTGCTGCTGCTGCTGTTGCTGCTGTTGTTGGGCGGCAATAGCGGCAATCTGCTGCTGGAAGAGCTCCTGGAAGTTTGAGGTGTTGCCCGGAGCCTTGGCGGCCGCCGCCACCGCCGCCTGTTGCTGCTGCAACTGCATCTGCTGCTGCTTCATGATCAGATCCTGCAGCTCGGTGGCGCTCAACAGCCCAAAGGGATTGCCTGTCGAGGCCGCCGCCGTGGCTGTGGTGGCAGTCGTCGTGGTAGCGGTTGTCACCTGCTGCAGCTTAAAAACGGTCCCGTTCAGGAAGTACTGGGCTGCGGCAGCCTGAGCGGCCTGGGCTGCCTGGGCGGCGGCGTTGTTATTGGCCGCCGCTGCCACCGCCGCCTTGGCCACGTTGTTGAGCTGCATGATGTTTGCAGCGGCCGCCAACTGGGGCGGCAGCTGGACTAGATTGGGCAGTTGCATGGGCAGCTGGTAGAGCGTTGGGTTGGGCGGGGCGGTGGTAGTGGGCGGAGGAGGAACAGGAGCAGGCGCAGCGACACTCACAGAAGCTGGCTGCGAGATCTGCTTCTGCTTTAGGTTGGACATCGTGCCTGGTGGCCGGTAGACCATGGCCGCCTTGCCCTGCTGCTGCTGCTGCTTCATCTCAGGCGTGCGGGGTGCGATGGCCACGTGTTTCTTGGCCGGCGACTTGCCCGTATTGGAGCCATTTGACGAGCTGCCCGACGAAGAGGAGGAGCTGGCCGACGAGCTGCTGCTTGGCGTCTTGCGTAGGTTGGGCGCCACCTGGGCAATCTTGGCTGGCTGCTTCGTGCTCCGTTCAATCTTCTTGAGCGCCGGCACCGGCAGGCTTGGGCTGGCAGTGACAGCAGGCGCTGGCGGCGTTGGCGTCACTGGTGTGGATGCTGCCACTGGCTTGCTTGCTGGTTGCAGTTGCTGCTGTGGCTTCTGCTGCTGTTGTTGTTGCTGCTGCTGCTGCTGCTTTTGCTCCTTGAGCTGCGAAAGGATGTTGAAGTACTTGTTCAACGAGGCAGTGGTCTCGGGCGTGCTCATCGTGAGCGTGTTGGCCGGACTGCTCTGCTGGCCCGGCTGAGGAGACAGCTTTCCGCCGCCCGGCGTGGGCTTCATCTGCGACTTGAAAAAGCCCGTGATCTTGGTCTGCGACTCCTCCAGAGCGGCCGCCTTCAGTCTTTTGCTTGCATCAGAGGCTCCAGGCAAGTCGTTGCGGGCCTTCTTGGCTGACGCTGCCCCAGCTCCAGTATTTCCAATGGCTCCATCTCCCCCAACGCTTCCCACTGTCGCTCCAGAACCGCCCGCCGAACGCTTGTTTTTGTTTGCCGTGGAGGCGGGTACGGCGGTAGAGGTGCTGCCCAGGCTGGTGTTCCACGGCCACTGGAGAGTGGGCAGGATGCTGGGGTTAACGCTCCGCTGGGGTGTCGTTGGGGTCGCCAGTTTGACGCTGGTGTGGCTCTGGCCGGGATTCTGATGGAGGGAAGAACCTGAGACCTGTGTAGTGCTGCTGGGGGAGGTCGTGGAGGCCGCTGCTGCGCCGCTGGCGGTGCTGTTGCCGAGGATTTGGGGGGGCATCTTGGTCAGCGGATCAGGGTCGCTCAGTTGCGAGTGCGCACTGTACGGGGAGCCTGGTTCGGACGCATCCTCACTGGAGCCCGTGCTAGAATCGGCGCAGCTCAGCGAGGTGGCAACGCCGCTGAAAGAGAAGGAGACGGAAAGGGAGATAAGTACAGGTGTTATCAACCAAGGGAAGCAATATATAAGTATCTAGCTTATGGGGATTAGGCCCTGTGAAGGACTCCTGCACATTGGTTACATCGCTTGCATGTGAGACACTTGAATGCAGCCACACCTTGGATCAGAGCCAGCGGAAATCAGTGTCTAAGGGGTCGCCTCTCCGAAAAGTGCTTCCTCGACACTTTTAATTCATCAACACCGACCATTACATTGTTTCCGCACCTCCAATTTGTTTGTGTTTATGCTTTTAGTCTTTTTTTATACTCTTCAGTTGTTTTTTTTTTCTCTCTCTTTTTTCTTCGGTTGTTTATTTGCTTGGCAGTGTTGGAGAGCGCACCACGTACATATGTATGTATATATCGATACTATATATATCGATACTTGCGGGGCTCAACTGTTAACTCTAACAGAGCCGTTGGCAGCTGGGAAATTCACCTCAGGAAAGTGTCATCACTCACAGACAGAATTTTGTCTGTTCCATCTCTTTCGCACGATTTTTCGTCTTTTTCGCACAGTAGGTGCAGAAAAAACGCGCGCGACTTTTTTGCACCTACTGTGCGAAAAAGACGAAAAATTAAAATGTTATTAACATTTTTTCTCTCTCTCTCTGATGTGAAATCAGAGAGATATTTTAAAATGTTAAAATTATCCGTCTAATTTTTCAAAAACAAACTTGACATGAGGTTCGTATCTACTTGTAAAAGATATTCAACTTTCTACATGTATTTCATAGAGACTTTTACAGCTGTTAAGTTTTTTTTTTTCCAGTTTCTTCACAACTCCCTGCAAGGGTATTAAAAGATATATGTTATAATATTTATATTATATGGATTTAACACTCACGTTGTTTTAAATGTACACATAAATATGTATATGAAATAAATATTAATTATTTATTTAAAGATATTTATAAATTAACTAAATAAATAAAGGTCTTTAATACATACATACATATGTAGCCCACAAACACACGAACGGGTCGATAAACGAAAGCATAAAGTAAACAAAAAATGCAGGGGATTACGATGAGCAAGAAAAAACATTTGAGCATTTTTTCTTCCATTCAGTGATTATAATTTTAGGAACTTTATTTAAATGAAACAATGCAGTTAAAATACTAGATACAATGCATAAAATTCCCCGAAGCAAGAAAAGCAAATGCTGAAATAAGCAGGGCCCTTCTATTCTTCTTTCTGTATCTTTCTTTCTGATTGTCGGTCCGCGTGCAACCTAATGCAGGAAAACTTCTGTTTCAGGTAGCTAGCTCAAGTGTGTGTATACACACACAAACACACTCAACCGCCAAAACCGATCCGAGTGCACGAGAGATATTCCATGGTGTTTTTCAGGGATTGCTCTACTGACCGTCCCCGGGGCAAACTAATCAGCTCTAGAACTAAAAACGTGTTTTCCTTCAGTCTTGTTCCTAAATACTAGAGGTGGAACCACAACAACTATCCGATGTTTGGAAAATGCAGGGCTAGTTCCTGGAATTTGGAAAAACTTTTGCCCTAGTATTTGTTTTTGAGTAGAGCTCGGGTTGGTAACATTTTGGTTGGTAACATATACTTTTAAAGTTTACAAGCGTTTTTGGAAAATGAAAATAGCTTTTAACAATGATTTTATAATGAAAAATATTTTTGAATTTGAAAAAGATTTTCAATAATAAGAAAAGACAAAATATTTTAAATAAATGGTTGAAACAAATGGTCAAAATGATTATTTCTTATTAACAAAGTAACAAAGCCTATTTATTATTAAGTAACAAAGCCTATTTATTGGGGCTTGTTTTGGATTTATTAAGATTATTATAGTTCTCATAGCTAGGGCTGGGACCCGACTCACTGCCTCGCAAGGCGAACATAAAACCGAGTAAAACACATGGAATGAAAATATTTTATACTTTATGTATATTTGACTACCCTCGGAGATCTCACAGATTACGGCGGCTGTTGTTCTTGTGTGATAAGCTTATTACGGCAGATTGATGTTAACAGCCTCCGTCTGCCTGCCCTGCCCGTATTCTCGCTGCTCTCGGGGTAAACGAACTGACCAAAAATAAATTACCTTTTCGCTTTATTCGCAGGGTCTACTTTCAAATTCCTTCTGAAGGAAGCAAGCGTTTGAGAAACGCTTAAGGGTTTTCAAGATCCTATGCTCTGTTGCTGATTTGGTATTCCGTTGTTTGGAAATTATTGTAAATTCCATTTTAAATTTGATAAATTTTAATTTAAAAATTACGTACTTGCAGCTCTACTACGGAACTTAATACCAAGTTCAAATTGTTTACCAAAATGAGATTTAAACTACCTAAAACCTTTAAACCTAGATGTTTTTGGAAATCCATTAAAAATAATAACTTAGCTGGAGGTTAAGCTATATAAATATAGGCTTGGGCTTTACTTTCGAAATTATTTTCGAAATCGGAAACAGTTTAAGGTAGAAATATATTAATTGTTTTGAAACAAATTAGTTATTTCTTAAATTTACAATTTAAGTTGATAAATTAAGGATAAAACACGAGTTAATTCCCGATTTGAAGATTTTTCATTGTAACCGCTTAAAAAAATACATAGAGTTTAAGTTTCAAAACCATTTTATCCCATTAATCATAAAACAATGATTTTATCAAGTATTTTATAAGAAATCACATAAGATATTAAAGAAAATTTATATTTTGTAATTATTCGGCCATTTATTCTTGAAAGCCCTACTATTTTCGATAAAAATGTATTCTATGAAGGGAACTCACTAGCCAATCAATTGACACTTAATTAATAAGACAATTAATGTACAATGCCAATTTATGTTCACATCATTTTAGTAGCTTTTGATAAAAAGTGTTTCACCGGCGGAACTTTCCAAGAGATGCCTAGTAGTTGGGACCATTTCAGGAGGGGCTTACTAAACTGTATCAAAAGTCACTTTCAGACTCTTTTTTTTAGAGTCAGTATTAGTTATAACCTAATGTCGAGGTACAGTTGATTGTTAAATTATGCACTCTATTTAATTTGGCAGCCGTAAGCAAGGCTTTGTGGACTCTATTCGAGCACACACGGGACATTTTAAATTCATAGAAAGGCGCCCAGCAAAAACGACAACAATTTAAATTTTATTAGAAAATCCCATTAGATACACACGCACACTCCCGCAGCACGGAGGCAACTTCCACTTCCGCCAGAAGTTGCCTTTGTTGGCCGAGGCGAGTGTGTGCGTGCGAGAGAGTGGTTGGGGTGTGTGTATCCAGCACCGCCCCCTCCCACACGGCCGCACACTCTCCTCTGCAAGGCATGAATGAAAACACTGAGGGGGCGGTGGGCAAAAAATCATTGCATATTTGCTTGGGGAAACAACAACACGGCCGCAAACAGTGACAGCCAGCAGTTATTTAACACGTGATGTAAACGGAATGTAAAGCATGCTGTAATAGTTCGCGAAACTAAAAATGCAAGCGGTGCGCCGGCATGATATTTTATGTACATGCTGTCCCTAGCTTATGCCTTTTGTGAGGCGATGGCGCTGGCGATCTGAGGCCTTTTCGTCGGTATACTAACATTTATCGAAAACCAGCTATCCAATTCGTATATCCAAAGGCAGGGCTCCGCACCGTCTTCCGTTTTCCGCTTTTCCACTTTTTCACTCACTCAAACTCAATCTTGAACTCAAACTATGACGCTAGCCGCAGAGCTGGCCTTCAACTTTAATCTCGGTCTTAAAGCATTTTGTTTTCGGCTATCTGTTAAACCAAGCTCTGGCTCTGGCGTTGTTTTTGTTGCTTTAATTATCCACACAAACACTCCGACGTCCGACGGGGCACTATACACCATCAGCGACCTGAACCGTGCCTTTTTTTCAACTCCGATTCTGCGGTCCGCGCTGCAACGTCCGTCGCGTTGGAAAGTCGAAGAGAAAATGACCTTGGAAGAAATTGGACACGAAAGTTGAAGGGAAAAACATCAAAGTAGGGAAGAACAAACAGCTGTTGGCTCTCATAATGGGATATTCTCTCTGGTTCGCTCTTTTACGAGTCCGCCGGCTAAGCACGAACAGGACTGAACGAAGGGCGAGCCGACACGAGTGCTCAGAAAGAACATAAAAAAGAGACGAAAGTGTTGGTCCTTTTTTGTGCCCGTATTTGTTTTTTTTTTGTAAATATGAATTTAGTGATGGTGCGTTTTATTATGAAAACAATTAATAATAATTAAAAAATATGTAAACAGCAATTTTAAGTTTAAAATTGATTAAACTATTTTATATATTATACGCTTTTATACGAGTAAACATTGAGTAAGTATCAGAGAATCCTTTTGCGAAAAATCCTTCGATCGTTTTTTAATATTCATAGATTGTGTGTATGGTACATGGTACATTTATGTACATGGTATGCATGTGATATTGTCTCATATGTATATTTTTTAGTGTTTGTTTTAATATTTAAACTTGGACTAGAACTTCGGCAGGAGTTAGATTTTCTTTTTCGTTATTTGGCTGTTGTTGTTGGCACGTTAAATATTTCCTGTTTGTCGTCGTCTCTCGGCGTTGAACCCGCAAATGGCAGCAAAGTGAAGTCAGTGAAGGAGGCGGGCGACTAGGGATGGCTGGGAGATGAAGGTTGCTGGAGGTCGGTGGCAGCAGTTCATGTTATGGTCACGTACTCCTCCCTCTTGGCAGGAGTACGGCATCGCTCCCCTTGTGGCTTGACTGCGTTTTACTTTCTTTTCTTCTCGCTGGCTTGCCTCGTCGAGCTCAAAGGTTTATCTAATTATTTAGACGTTTTTCTCCCATTCTGAGTGGCGTGTAAAAATATTTAATTTTCCGCATAAATCCCTGGTCTTGTCTATTTAGAAATTGTCAGAAACATGTACTAAACTGACTCCTTTCATTGGAAGAAGTTATGAAAAGTTTGATGGGAACTCATATCATCAGGATACTACCAACATGGCTCTTATTCTCTGAGCA